TTGTAAGCCGCCCCGAGGTTTCGGCAAGGGGCGGCATAGAAATGTTAATAATAATAATAATAATAATAATAATAATAATAATATATGACTAGGTGCTTACAACGCTCTTTCTGACTGGTAAATTTCAATGCACACAAACTGCAGCCTGGGTTACTACAGCAGACTGTGAGAGAATTTCTCTCCTATGTCTTTCTCTCTCTTCGCTCCCCTCACATCCATCTTTCTCAACATCACTGCATCTGTCCTCATCCATCCTTCTTCTATTGACTTATATTTCTATCCCACCTTTTTTCCTTTCAAGGAACTCCAGGCAGTTTGCATAAATTCTCCTCCTTCAATCTTATCCTCATCACAACAACCCTGTGAGGTAGGTTTGGCTGAGAGTCTTGACTGGCCCAAAGTCACCCAGTGAGCTCTGTGGCTGAGCGAGGACTAGAACCCAGATCTCCTGAATCCCAGTCCTGCACTCTTAAGCACTACACCACACTGGCTCTTGTCTATTTTTTCTTGCCCTGCAACTTCCTTCCCAACTTTCCTTTGTCTCTCTCACACAGCCACTCTGCAGGAGAGGTGTATTCTATGTACTTCTTATGTTTACTTGAAAATAAGCTCATCTGAGTTTATCTTAGCTTCCTGCCCTTCAAACCAATTTCTATATCAGCATGGCTAATCAGTAAGTTCCAGGAAACTACTGTTGGCCTTCCACACCCTGGTCTACATGCCCAGAAGCAATCTCCAGCCCAGCCCCACCTAGAAGTAGTTTTACTAACTGTAGGAGACAATCCGTCCTCAAAGAATGATGCCTTGCTGAAGGTGGTATACAGTGCTCTTTCTCTGATACCAAATGGCTAAATGCAATACTCTTCACTGTCCCACAGAAGCAAAGACAGTTGTGTTAGCCATAAGGGAAAAATAAATTATAATGTTGTATACATTATTAGGTCCTTAATCCACTGTATTATATGAGGTTAGCAGTTGTCATTCTGGAGATATTACTCTTTTAGGTGCCAAAAAGGTGACTAGATGGATGAGGCAGTGGTTGTGGGCTTGGGTGGGTTCCGAGGGATGGTGGAGGACAGGAGAGCCTGGAGGAATATTGTCCATGGGGTTGTGATGGGTTGGACCTGACTTAGTGATGAAACAACAAAGCTGCCAAAAAATCAAGGAGAATCCTTTCACGTCATACATGCATGAACACCGAGGAAGCAGGTTGGAAATGTAAAAGAAGAGGTTTTGGCCTTCAGCTAATATCATTCCTGGTCTATATGGCCAACCATCAGGAATTTCAAGAGCAGTGATTCAAACTATCTGGACCTTGGGGAACAATACATTAGGCCATGACTAAGAATGTGGTAGAGCCAGACTTGTGGTCATAATCCTGGATTCCCAGTATTTAGTGCAGGGCTGGGGAATGTGTGGTCTTCCTAACCATGCTGGCTGAGGCTGATGGATATCGGAATCAGTAGCTGATTTATATTTGTTTATTCATATGTTGGCTCAAGACAATGGTAAAGCAAGCATTTAACATAAGATAAAGGATATCAATGCAGTGATAACCTATTTATCTATAGGAGGGTTCTTCAAAAAGTTTTTGCACATTTTAAACTATTTATTAAGAATTTCAAAAACAAATTACATCACTTTTCTGCATAGTAACCTTTCTTTGTGATGCATTTTCCTCAGCATTGTACCAAGTTTTTAATGCCATCAGCAAAAAATATATAAAATATATTTATAAAATATAAAAGTGTGGAAACTGCTTGAAGACCCTTCTTACCATTAACCCAAACAGCTGCTTCAGCTAACACACAAAGGACTGGAATGAATGACTGAGGACACTGGAGGGTGGCAGCTTCACCACCAGCTTCAGCTGTAGACCTTCTCCATGCACCTTTCAGGCCAACCTCACCAGAAGTTTCCATAAAGAGACCTGCAGGAGGCATGATCCAGAACCTGCAAGAAGACATCACCTGCTCCATTTGCCTGGAGTCCTTTGATGACCCTGTCTCCATCGACTGTGGGCACAACTTTTGCAGGCTCTGCCTGTCTGCCCACTGGAGTGGGACCTCCCATAGCGGGTACCGCTGCCCCGAATGCCGCTACCCATGCAGTCGTGAAAGGATGAAGCCAGACACTCGTCTGCGGAGCCTGGTGGAAAAGATTGGACAGATCCCACTGCAGGAGGGAGTGAATAAGGAACTGGTGAGACCAAAATAGCTTATAAGTATTTGTAGTGTTGTTGTTCATGGCAGAGATGTTCAATTTGTACCCAGGATATTCCACAAGCACAGCCTTGGTTAATGTGGGACCTGGATTGGGCACGATTTGGGAATGGATCCAAACTTAGTAATACTTAGAACAGACCCACTGGAATCTCGACTAACTACAGTCCCACTAAGTTCGGCAATTCTACTCTAAGCATGGCTAAGAATGGATGCAAACCTTTCCCAACCTTCACTCTGAGACATGATTCCCAGTCATGAAAATGGATGCCCTGAGGCAACTTGCTGACAGCAGGTGGGAAGCAGAAGGTGTATTTAGACCTTTATCTTGTCAGCTCTAACCAAAGAGCCAATTAGCCCAGCCACTATGAGTAGCCAACCAATTCCCTCTAGATGCTGACAAGCAGGGCGTACTGGTTATGTCCTTCCTGTATGGCTTGGCCCCATCATTCCCCACACAGGGTTATATACTGGAGGCACATGGAGGCTTCTCAGCTCCCATGACTAAAAGCTGCTGATAGATCTATCCATAATTTGTCCATACACACGTGGCTAGATAGGATTAGCTTAGTTATGTATTGATAACTATACTTCATGGTAACGAGGGTCATACATTAATTAGCAACTGTAATTCACTGCTACAAGATGTGGCAATGACCACCAGATGACTTTGACCAGCATTTGTTCCCCGGATTTCTGACCACCATAAAAGCAGCTAAAGGGAGATCTGAAGACTTGGGCCTCGGATCTCAGGCAAATGTCTCCTTGAGGGCACACATGGTCCCAGTTGCATTTAAAGAAGTGGCAGCACAACTGCTGAGGTAATGCTTGTATGAGCTTGGACAGCTAAGGCCCAGTCTCTGATTTCCCCTTTCAGGAGCAGGGTGCTGGAGGGGGTGGTGGCCCCTGACCTCTGGTTGATTTGGAATGTTCTTATTACTGGGATCCATTCCAGTCTGAGATCTGGACTAGTTTGGCATGGAGACAGCCTTGCTCACCCTGGAAGAATGCAAACGCTGGGAACTGGATGATGAGAGTGTAAATCTCAGGGTCCTGGATGAGTTCTGTTCCATCCCATGGTCTTAGACTTGAGAGTGTCTCACGGTTCCACCTTATCCCCTGTGCATGAAGCTGCATTACAGAGCCAGTGTTAGGGAATGGTAGACTAGGGCTAGACCCCGGAATCTTTCATTCAGAGCTGCACATCTCTGGGAAGCCATCTCATCCACCACCTTGCCTTTCAGGCCCCCGTGGTTCAATGAAGGTGCAGGGGCCCTGATGATCAGTGTTGCATCTGCACCCCTGAATAAGCTGGCTTTTTGCCCTTATAATTCATCTCCTTCTGGGCCCCAACACCACATCTTTTTGCTTAAGGCTTTTGCCAAAATCATACGATCTCCTCTCAGCTGTCTTCACTTTATACAAATGGGGGTGTCCTTAATGACAGTGTTATTCAAGGACACACACCATATGCATATAAAATGGAATGGTTAGAGTAAGTCACCTGATACAGTTGAAAGCTTCATAGTGAAACTAAGCTTCATGGAACAGTCTGAAAGCACTTGAGACAGTCACTTTGCTCAAAGTAAATAGGTCTGTGTCTGGTCAGTGCTTGGAAGTCAGACCGCCTGGTAATTTCACGTCACCACCTTGAATTCCATGATGGAAGAAAGGTGGAATGCAAATGTAATAGAAATATACAGAAGCTTGTTTTGCGCTATAACTCACCTGGAAACTAGGTCTAAGGTGCTTTTGGAGGAAAACAGAGTATTGATACTTGCAAGTTAAGTCTGTGGCATTCAGGATGCAGTTGTTCATTAAATGCTGCAGTATGTACAGTCGTCTTGGTTGTGACCCAGCTGAGTCCTTTTTCTTTTAGGAAAGGCCAGCAACTCCATTGCCAGTGGGCCAGCCTGTGCAACTGGTGGGTCTGGATGAGAACGGGGAGCTCTGCCTGAATGAGGAGGCCCTGAGCTGCTGCTTGGAGCAGGGAGAGGTGAAGGACTCCCCTATCTGCTTGATTACCATCCTTGGGGAGCAACGCCGTGGCAAATCCTTCCTGCTGAACTTCCTTCTTCGGAGGTTTCGAAACTTGGTAAGCGTTTCAATGTTCATTTGCTTTTTTTACTAGAGTCTGTCCAGATTGATGTTTGGAAATGGTCAGGATTGGGTGGTAACTCCTCTCCACTTTGCAGCTGATTACTGGGTTTTATTCAGGAAATCAACCATGCAAATGGGGTCTGTATGTGAGTGATTTTATGTGAGTGTCAATTCCAGGGCTTTTTTGTCATAGAACGTACCGGAACAGCATTCCGGCACCTTTTTTTGATGGATTTTTCCAAGTGATTGTGAATCGCCCTGTTGGGCATAGCAGATCGGCGGCAAAAATCATTATCATTGTGCCTGCGGGCTGCTTGTGTGTCGGCGCTGATTGTCAGCACTGATTGTGAGGGCACCACTCAGCTTGGGACGCTGCTCGGCTTGGGATCAGTCATGTGATCGCATGCTGAGTGCTTACTGCCTGCGGCGACCATTGTGTAAAAGTGTGACCCCAAGACATGAGTTCTGGCACTTTTTTTTTTTTTTTTTACAAAAAAAGCACTGGTCAATTTTATAGGAAGTTATGTTCATGGTTGTCCAAGAACATGAAGTCCAGTGCAGATGTTCCTGGTGGATGGGTGTACAGAGCAAACAACCAAGGCCTCACTATCCTCCACACATACCGGTTGGATCAGGGACTACAGTTATCCAGTGTGGCCCGGTTCCATACAGTTACTCCTCCCACTTTATGACTTACTTAGCCTTCTGGTGGTGAACCTCTTTTGGAGGTGGACTTCAGCAGCATTGCTAGTTCCTGCAAAGTTCAAAAGAAAAGCTGAAATGGACTTGGAGCCCCGCTGCCTTGGGAATTACCAGTCCTCCCTGTGGACAATTAGTGATGTTGTGAGATGTAGCAATGGAGAGTGGGAAATGTACATTCTGTTCAAAACCAAATAGAAATAATTAAAGAAGGAAAAATCTCCTGTGGTGTTGGAGACTTACCTTGGGAGGTGTAATGCTCCCTTCCCAGAACTATTCACTACTCACACTGCTAAGCCAGAAACAGAATCCTCAAGTCAACTTCCCAGTTTCTTCAGTCCCTCCAGTGCCAACAGTCTGGATGGCTTGAAAAGGGGATTGGACACCTTAATAGAGAAGAAGGCTATTGATGCCTACAGGTCTTGATGGCCCCCTGTGACCTCCAGTGGCAGAAACGCACCATTTGCTAGGGAACGAGGACAGGAGGATGCTGTTGCAGTCATGTCCTGCTTGTGACCACTCTGTGAACAGACTGCAGGGCTAGATGGCCTGGTCCAGCATGGCACTTCCCTTCCCTTCCCTTCCCTTCCCTTCCCTTCCCTTCCCTTCCCTTCCCTTCCCTTCCCTTCCCTTCCCTTCCCTTCGCTGCAGAACCTCATTTCTTGTCTCCTGGAACTCAAAGATCTTCTGGCTTTCAAACAGCACCCTTGTCCCTGTTTTTTCCTTCTTGGCAGGCAGCTGAGGATGACTCATGGATGGGTCAGGAAGATGAGCCACTGACTGGATTTGAGTGGCGACCAGGACCAGATACTACCACAAAAGGCGTGTGGCTATGGAGCCAGCCATTTTGGGTCTCCACTGAGCAAGGAAAGGTAAGATTTTAGGGGCATGAGGAGTGAAGGTTGGGGGAAGTAGAAAGCAGGTGACTTTGCTTGATAGGAGGGAATTGAGGTAGGCAAACTCAAAGCAGAGTTCCTTAGTCATGGCTACACATTGCAAGGTGGGACTGGGCTGTGGCACTTTGAGGGTGAATGGTGTCACAGGGACAGAAGCTCTGGCAGTAAAACTTCTGGGAAATGGAAGTAGGCTCCATTATAGGCCATTTTCCCACATGTCCTTTATATTGCTTTTTGAACACGTGCAGTCAATTTCTTGACTGCCTTTAAAGAAGGGGTGGGCAGTGTGTGACCTTCTAGATGTTTCAGTCTACAACTCCCTTCATCCCATCATGGGCTATGCAGGCTGAAGCTGGGAACTGTAGAACACAACATTTGTTGGGACCACACATTCCCTACTCTTGTTATAAAGCAAAAGCTAGAGAGGGGAAACAGAGAGAAATAGTTTGACCTTAGAAGCAGGAAAGCTGAGAGGTGTTCTTGGCAAGAGCACAGCATCAGAAATGATTTGTGTGTCTTAATATCTGAAGACTTTTCACAAGTGATCAAGTGAAGACGTTTTTGAGCAATAAGGGGATAAGCAACAAGCTTTAGAGGTCCCATTTTTAACTTCAAGACATCTTCACCTTTGAAGGTAGCAGCTTCCCTCTACTGCATATTCCAAACATACTCCCTTCCAATCTTCTGACCCCATTAGGAACTCTTCTCCAGTTTGCATAGGGATGTTCTTACCTATCACAGCTACTTCTCCTAACTTTGAACATTATCAAAACTAGTCTCAGCTTTGAGAACATGCAGTAGATTGCACAGAACAAACCAGAAGTACCCTGTCGGCAAAGCTGATGATCCATCCATCTCTTTATTCATTCGTTTATTTATTCATTTCATTTTTATACTGTCCAATAGCTGAAGCTCTCTGGGTGGTTAGCAAAAGTCAAAAACACACAACAAGAAAGAAAGAATATAAAGAGACAAGACAGCCACAGCAATTGCAACTGAATCAGCACAGATATATAGCGGTGGTACAGGACAGAATGAAATATTAAAACTAAAGTTGAAAGGTTAAGTATTAAAATATTTGGAAAATAAAACGGGTTTCACCTAGTGCTGAAAAGAATACAGAATAGGTGCCAGACACATCTCTTTAGACTAGATCAGCAGCCAGCGAGATGCCTCAAAGAATTTCATGAAGTTCTCCTTGGGTGGGCTTTCTGGAAAAATCACGTTGATGCAAACAGTGGTCCAAAATGCAGAAAAGTATCATTTATTTAACAAATTAATATGGCTTTACTACAATGGGGACTGGAGAGGATTTTGGCTGTGTCCATTGCTGTATTTTCTCCTCTTCTACCTCTAGGTGGCCATCTTCTTGATGGACACTGAGGGCTCAATGGATCTGCAGAGGAGCAAGGAAGTTGGTGTCAAGCTCTCTGCATTCTCCATACTGCTCAGCTCCTATCAGGTAGGTTCCTGCCAAGTTTGTCCTCTGCTTGTGATTTGCCTTCTCATATAATTCATCGGTAAGTGACAATTTTGTTGTCTCTTCCTTACTCTCCTAGATATTCAATTTGGCCAACATGATGAAGGACACAGATCTGGAATACCTGGAAGTGAGTGGGTTTGGAAGGAACAGGAGGGAAGGTCTTGAATGTCCCAGGTGGGGAAAGAGGAGAATGAGGGAAATGGAGTGTTAGTGCTCTGGTATAAACAAAGACCTGTATGTGCTATGAAAGCAAGTGGGTGACATATGTCCAGAACCCCTGGGCTCTCTCTGGTTTCTAGGCAGCTCAAGCCTGGATTCAGCAAATCATAGCATTGGAAGGGAGAAAATATCATTTTGTCTTCCTGCTCATAATCTGGCACAAAGCAACCCACATGGTCCAAATCAGTTAGAACGTGTTGCAAGAAGAAGAATTAAAAAGCAAGAGAGCGAGTGTAGTGTGGTGGTTAAGAGCATGTCTCTGGGACTCAGATGATCTGGGTTCTAGCCCTGCTCAGTCATGGAGCCCACTGGTGACTTTGGGCCACTCACAGACTCTCAGCCCAGCCTACTTCACAAGGTTGTTGCTGTGAGGATGAGATTAAGAGCAGGAGGAGGAGACTGATATATGCCTCTTTGAGTGAATTGGAAAAAATGCAGGATTTAAATCTAATACATAAATAAATGCTGTTAAAAAGTGCTTGAATATCAGTTGAAGATTAAAGGAAGTTAAGCCACACACCAGGAGGCTAATGGACTGGGAGTCCCAAGGCCTGAGACCCAACTGGGTATGTAGAAGCTCTCTGTGTTTCATGAATTGTCAGACAACCTTTGTTCTGCCATCTGCTCATTGACATTATCTGGCCTTTTGTAGAAGAATTTTTTTCTGTTTGCATGAATTTGCAAGAGTGCTAATGTGCATTTGTGACAACACATACTAGTGCTATTGCATACTTGTACAAATCTCCCCAAGATGAAATACATGGAAAAAGTGCAACTCTAATCTGCATTTCCAAGCTTAGCCTGCAAGAGAAAAATGCACATTTTGGTATTTTTCATATTTTTGTATGCATGCAATTCCAGAAAATTTAAAAAATGTTAATAGGATTCATACAACCAAGGAAAAGCCAGCCTGCTGCAGAATCCATAGGCCAGTATCACTGAAATTCAAATTCACTTGAATCCCTTGCAAATTTCTCCATCATCTTGAGTTAAACTCATGCTCGAGGATAATGTTAAGTATTGACCAGTTTCTACACCTCCCAGCCTCCTCCTTGTAGGCATGGTGAGGAGCATTAGATGGACCTTTTACCTTTATGCGGTCCAGAGCTTATGGGCTGAAGGGAAACGTGGCTCCACCATAATAAATATCACAAGATAAAGCTTGTGAATAGACGTGGCATCAGCCATGAGCTCCAAAGCTTCTCTCGTTCTGGTGCAAGAGGGTAGTGAATCTGGCAGGCTAGATGGTGGAGGGGGTGGTGATCTCATTCTCTGTCTTCCTCATGGTGACCCGCTTCCTCTGCCCCACAGATGTTCGTGCATGTCGCTGAGACAGTGGGGCGGGTTGGCAGTTTGAAGCCCATTCAGGTAATGAGCATCAGCTGCCCCGCTTCCTCCTCTCCCCACTCATGTTCTGTTCTCTTCCCCTCCACCCACCACCGACAGCATGTTCAGGCCTTCTGTCTGGACATTGTGTCACAGAGAGCCTTTGTCTGCTGGATTCCTGTCGCCACCACTGCCTCTTCCAGCTCTGAGCAACTCTGCCTGGTACCCACATCTCTCCCTCCCTCCCCCACCCTCACCACTCCCCCTCGCCTTTTCCCCATCCCTTTCTCCCTCGAATACGAACACCAAAGAAGTGACTTTCCACTCTCCCTTTGTTACTGCATTCTGGAACGCTTGACATACCTTTTAAAATCCTGAATAATTGAACTCATGAAGAAGAAAAGGGGGCAAACTTAGCCAGTAAGGGCAGACAACTGCATGGCCTCCCTACTCCCATGCAAAACAGGGCTGGTAGGGGCTCATTTCTTTTCATAGAAGAGAGCACCCAGGGGACTCCTCTTTCCTCTGTACTACTCCTCATTTGCCTGTTGCTTTAAGCAGGTGGTTCTCGGCCCACTAGAAGCAAGTGAGGCTGGGAGAAAATTGCTTGGAACTCTGGAGCACAGGAAGACGAAGTTTGGGACAGGGATTGCCTCTCTCCCCTCATCACAGGAATTTGAACTATTATTGAAACAAAAATAGCAGCTGCCTTCTCTTTTTATTTCCATAATAGTTATCATCTCTAAATGTTATGCAAAGGTAGGCACTTTGTCAACTCTTTGATGTTGCAGTCCCTCTTCTGGGGAAATATTTGAGGAGCCACCCTGCTCCTTTCAACCTGGCCACCCTGAAGCAGACCTGCACTTGCTCTTAGCATGCGGACGACCTGTCATGCACAGCTGCTGCTTCATGCGTGGTTTTGCTTCCAGCAGACCTGTGCAAGGGCTTGTGCAGAAAGTACTGAAGTGTTCAACCAGGCCAGCATTTGTCACGTAGCTGCTAATGATTCCATATATCTGGGCTGGAGATGAGATCACAACTGTAGGCAGACCGGAAGCGAAGGCAGTAACTTGGGAATAAGGGGCCCAAGTGGACTGACTGGTCTCTTGTTTGCAGCATCTTGATCTCCTGGTGCGTGACTGGTACTTTCCACCCAACCATGGACTCCAGGGCGGGCAGAACTACCTCCGAGAGGTCATACAGGTAACACTAGTGATAAGCACCTTGGCTATTCCAATCTGGCTGGCTGGAGGGGCATCTGAGCTATACAGGGCAGCCTTTCCCAAGATGCCTTTGTGTTACATTACAGTTCCCACCCATTCCTGGAAGCAGGCTCAGATGGCCTTTCCCCCATCCATAGCAAAGATGGGCAGACTGGCTCTGGGTGCTAGAACTAGGATGGCTGCATCTCAGTCTTGCTCTTCATCTCTCTTTTAACTCCAGAAATTGGAAAATGATCCCCAAAGGCACCCACGATCCCTGGCAACCCTCAAAAGCCCCAGCACCCGCTGTTACCTGATGCCCTTCCCTGGCAAGCAATTGGTGGTGGGAAGTGAAGGCACCTTAGCAGGTAAAGATCTCCCTTCTTTCCATCATACTTTTAAATCCTTTCCCCACATTTACTCACATATTTCAAATCTGTTTCAGTTCTTTAAAAAATAGATGCTGTTGGAATCTCTTTCCACAGAGTGGAGCTTTGGTTCCATTAAAAACGTATTGATTGCAGTGATGGAATTTTCTTGCCCTCTTTACAGATTTTAAAAAGGTTGGCTCAGTCTTAGGGTCTGGAGACTGGAATTCCTCTTTCCTTTAGATGCTTTTAGTTTTGCCTTGTTTTGGATCTCCCGGGGTAGACGTTTGTGCAAAGAAGCAATGTAGAAATCCAGGATTTTTGTTTGAGATGTGTAAAATGTTCTCTCCCCACCAATCCTGCCACCTAACAAAATAGAATAGAAAATAATTCTTGCTCTTCCTATCCCATATGTTCCATCATATAAAGGAAAAAAGGGATTTACAACATGAGGAAATAAACAATGCAAAAATGTCCCTACTAATTAAAATGAAAATACAGTCTGATGTGTGTGGTAGAGTGGGAAAAAGGACTATCACTGAGAAAGCATGGCTTACAACAGTCCAGCAGTGTAGACCAGTATTAATATTGTCATTATAAGGTAGCTCTGAAGCTGAAAGAATGTTTAAATCCCTGCTGTTTAATTCAGCATTACTATTCAGACTTTTTTTTTGGGTGGGGGTATTTTTATCAAGCCAATGCTAGAGGAGATTATTGCTTTAGTGTCTAAAATCATCCCTAACGTTTTCATATGCCACTGCAGGGGAAATTTTGCTTGCCAAAACAAAACAGCACAAAACAACTACAGACAAAGGTCTTTTTCCTGCTCTGCTGCAACATTAAATTTTTCGGTCCATCCCCTGCATTTCCCAAAGAATCCCAAAATAATGCTTTGGCCCTACACACATATACATATAATCTAAGCTTCAGGATTGTGAAGTACAATTTTTATATTTCTATTTCCAGCTAGAATCCATCCCACCCTGACAAAACACATGTGATATTGCAGGAAAGGTAGTTCAGGTTTTCTTTTGCTTGATTTTATTTCACCTGTTACATTTCTGTGCTGCCCTGTAGCCCAAGCTCTCTGTGTGGTTTATAAATACTAAAACCTTTAAAGTATCCTGTAAAATTATATGCATACAAACATGTGAAAATGTAACCCAGAGAGACATAGATTCATAAATCTAAAAGCAATCTGAAGCAATTAACAAGATAAAAAAGACCTATTTCATTATATGCTGCCAAGTGCTTAAAAGAAGAGTCCTTAACATAGTATCAAAGTGATAATGTTGGTGCCAGCCAGGCACACCTCATTTGGGGCAATGTTTCACAACATTTAGAACAGGAGAAAGAAGTATTTCAGGTACTTCAGGAATATTTCCAATAAACATAGTGTATGGGTACATTAATTCTACCCACCCAGCCCAAATCTAACATTCCTTTGCACTCCAGAGTCCAGTGCTTCATTAAATTGAATCTTTACATTGCATTTCTGCCCCAGCACAGCACCACTCCAAGTCAAGAAGAGGTTAGCAATGTGTGACAACCTTATTTTTTCCCTAAGTCTACAACAGGAGTATCAGGAAAGTCCACTTTCTTCCCCTTCCCTGTGCCAGTTCATCAAAGCTCGCTCTTGACTGAACATCTGCACAGTTGATGCCCCCTGGTGGCTACAGAAGGTAGCACAGCCCCTTCAGCTCTAGTGAGTCCATTTCAGCAAAGGCCTGACCTAATTCACAGGAATGTTGTGAGGATTAAATGGAGAAGAGGAGGATCATGAAGCAAAAACAACCAGGCTTCTGGCTATACAAGCATCAACCAGCAGAGATTACTCCAGCACTTCAAGGTGCAATACATCTGCTACAGTTCTTCCTGTTTAGAGCTTTGGAAAAATAACCCTTCCCAACACCATGTAAGGAAAGCTGAGTGGGGCCAGAGCAGGGCTGGAACTTGTCCTCTGCCCTCCTCTGCCAAGCATGGTCGGGAAACAGACCCCTTTCTTTTTCTTTTGCTCTTTTCCAAGGGAGGAGGGGGGTGCAAGTTGCACATCATGGTAGTCGCCCAGCCAGCTCTGCCAGCTACTTACATCCTCAGCTTGGCTGAGATGCTGGGCTACAAAAAAGATCAAGGAGGAAAAGACACCACCTGGTACCTTGGGATGGGGGAGGAAAGCAAGGGAGGAAATTGATCAGGGGAAAGAGCGGGCCAGTACTTCCAAGGAGGCAGGACAGGGTGGTGTGGCTCTCCCTACCCCAGAGAGCATCACCAGCCCAAGAAGCACAGAAGCCTCCAAGCTGCCTCCACACCTTCACCCTCCAGCTGTTCTCTGGCTTCCGCTGCTTGTGTTCAGCATTCACAGTTGCAGCTCTGCAACCTGGGGAGTGACAGGTCATGTTCAGTGTGCAAGACCTGTGTTCAGATAGCCCAGTGTCTTTGAAGTTCCTCATGGTAAAACAGGGTGAGGGCAAATTCAGATTCAGACCAGCACAGAAGTGCTGGGGATGATGGAGGCTTTCACCCTTTCCTCCTAGCCGTGTTTGCTGTCTCTGTGCCTCCAGCCCCCAACATACTATTAACCCCGAAGCAGAAACAATACAGCTGCAAGACCTGCATTTTTCCATGGTATGGGAAATGATTGTGATCTCAGAAAAAGCAAGAGGGTATCTTTGAAGGAAAGGGGAAGGGGAATAAATAAATCTGTGGATTTTATTTTGTCAATTAATTATTTTAATACTTTTAGTTGTAAGTTTTAATTAATGAACTGACTGATTCTTAGAGTTTGGGCTATAAAAATGTTCCTCAAAATGGCTGCATGATCACCTGTTGCCACCAGGGGGCGCACCTTTGCAGAAGATATCACATACATTCATATGTATTTTTTCTCCATTCCTTCATCTGAACCGTTTGTTTGAATTATTTCTTCCAGACATGGATGATGATTTTAGGGAGTGCCTGAAGGATTATGGGAATTCCATAGCTCAATCAGCTGGGATGCATCTAAAGAAAAGCAAGGAGGGGAGAGCCCTCATGGGTTCAGAGCTTGCAGCCAAGATAAAGGTGAGAGATGCAGAATCAAGTGTCAGTGTGGACAGACCATGGTCAGCTGCACCTGCTGAATTTCTACCTGCCATGCAGGCTGTATAGGCATTGAGCCTCTGTTGTGTCAGAAAAGACATGACACCCTCTAGGTGGATGTGGAATTATGAATGTGGTTGTAGAGTTCATATGTTCACATTTATTTATTATATTTACATCCCTGCTGTTTTTCCTGCAAGGAACCTAATCTGACTTATAAAATCTCTCTACTTTATCCTCACAACAACCCTATGAGGTGACTTAGTCTGAAAGGCCACCAAAGTAATCCAGTACGCTTCATGACTGGTCCCCCGAATCCCAGTCCAGCACTTTAACCACTGTGCCACACTGGCTGTAAATCTGGGTTGCCAACTGGCCAGAAAACTCATCATCATGTTCCTGTGTTTTTGACAAAAGTTAGATCCACTGCAGTCAGATGAAACCTTTCAGGACACAGAGATAAAAATGATCACCTTTTATTTGTTGGATGGATTTTAATCATCTGTGGAAAACACAGTACCAAGGGGATCTGTTAAAATATTGGTGACTCTTGTGACCAGTTTTGTCAGATCTTTCCCAGTGCAACAGATGGCTATATGTGTGATGCTGTGTTTTGTTTATGCACAAGAAGCACTGTGTTTGGAAGTGCTGCTGTCCATACACAGCATTTGTGCTATCACTGCCAACAGCCATTCCTGAAGATTGCACATTAAGAAACGGGAGGGGATGTATGGCCATTCCACAAATCTCATGGAAAAACTGCTTATTTTCTCTTTTCCTTCCCCATTCCTTTTTACTTGTGTGCCATGACTCTTCTCGATTTTAAGCTTGAGGGCAAGAACTGTCTTGTTTTACATGATTACATGTAAGGTCTTCCAGGAGTCTGTCTGTCTGTCTGTCTGTCTGTCTGTCTGTCTCTCTCTCTCTCTCTCTCTCTCTCTCTCTCTCTCTCTCTCTCTCATATGCATGTAAGGAGCAGAATAACAAAACTTCAAATAAATAATAAAGTGGTATGTGTAAATGGATGCATGCCAGGCACAGGAAAAATTTGCCAATTCCAGCACCAGAATTATTGCTGCCCCTATCTAGTATCCTATGGGTGGTTGTAAACATGATCCACTATGTCAAAAGGATCTGAGACAGGGCCCAGCCATTGGGCTGCTAGCATCCCCTTCTGATTCCCCACATCAGGCCTGGTGATTGCTGTCTCTGTGACTGCCTCCCAGTCCGAGCAGAGAGTGAGAGGTGGTGCAGCTGGGGATGGAAGGTGCGGCCTGGAAGGCTTTGCCCAGGCCCGGCACACCATGCGGCTCTGTTGGCATCATTGGCTCCTGCCAGCAGGCCCAAGGGTAACATGCTCATGGCAAGGCCTGGCATGTGCATAAGCTGAGCCTGCCTCCTCCCAGGGATCACCTCCTGCCAAAATCAGCTTATTTGTGGGCTCTGGCAGCAACCCTTGGCATGTCTTTTAATTCCTTCTGGTGCTTATTGCAATGTTCTGACATGACTTCTTTTGATTTAGCGGTGTGATGCTCTGATACGGTTGTGTAATGGCTTGATACAATTAATGTGCCAGCCACTATGGGGCAAATATTAGGGAAAAATATACATGGTGTGTGTGTTAATTGTCTGTAGTACTGTGCAGTTGGAAGGTGGCTTTTCAGTACGAGTGCCCATCACTTGCAGGAGCTGGTCCTCATACCGTGTTTGTCATTCTGCTTTTCAGAATTTCTCGGCTCTCATGAAGCAGCACCAGTTTGGCTTCTCCTCTGCCATGCAGGTACCTGCCTCTCCGTTCTTCACCTTTGCACCAGGGGACGGGTGAAGCTCTCAACCACCCTACCCAGGCTCACTGCTTCTCTCTCCCTTGGCCATCATTGCTCCTCACTTGTAACTTAGCTCAACTGCTCTCTCTCTGTTCATTCAAAAGCTGCATTTTTGGAATGGTGCAGCCACCCACTGGGGCATAGCCTGAAGGTGGGTGACACAGCAAGCCCGTCAAAGCTAAGCAGGCCCGGGACTAGCCAGTGCTTGGATGGGGGAACCTTGGCACATGTTTCTGTCAACTCCATCAGGGAAGGAAGGTGGGATGACATAAAACAAAATGGCAGGTTCTGCTGGTCTGTCCATTGCTGCTGGACAGACACCATTTACACACTAGAGGAAGCAGCTTCCATGAGAATTAACAGTACATGTATCAGTCCTCACATGTGCCCTCCTTACCTCCTTTCTCTGCTTCTTCTGGTAACAGGACTGGAGGGAGACTCAAAGGCAAGTTAGTACCTCCGTGAGTTACTTTGGCAACCATTTTGTCCTTTTACCTTCCTTTAGATGGCCATCACCATACACAACCTGGAAACCCACGAAACCCTGCAGAAGGAATTTACAGAGTTCCTTAAAGAGCAGGTAGGAGCAGAAGGAGGGACAAGGTCCAAGTGTGGATCAAGGGAAAGGTTGGCAAAGGAGAGTTGTGTGGGTTGGATCTGGGAGAAGGAAAGGGTTGGAGCAATCAGGGTGCAGAGATTTCTGTTGGAAGGCTTGTGGGAGTTTTAGGATGTGTCTAGATTCAGGGCAGGGGGTGCTAATGTGCAGTCTTCCTGTATCCCCTGCTGCCTTTTTATGGCCCTTGCCCCAAAAGACAAACAACCAACCTGCTGCTGGAACAAAAATAAGTACATTTTTCACATCAAACAAGGCAGGAAGTGAATGGGCACTTTGTTTTAATGCTAACTTGCACCCCCACACCTGGGACATTCAGGGGTATGCTTTTTCCTTAAAATAAAATGCACTCACTCCACACACCTTGGTTTAAATGTACCTGCAGCTTTCTTGTCATTGCCAAAATGTGACACCCCCAAGAAGGTAATTCCAGTGGTCAAATAGTCTCTGAGACCATACAGTTTACCTGCCCAATTTAAGGCTTTATTTTTCAGTGTCTTCAGCTGAACCATGGCTTGAGCACAGAATTAAAGGTCAGCACACTTTAGAGTGGGGAAGGTGGATAAAATAATGTTTAGGGTAGGATGGGGTAGGATGAGAGTGTGGCCTCATGTTTTCTGGTTTGCTGATGGGTTGTGGACACATTTTCAGAGCCTAGGAGAGGTTACAATATGGAATGTCCAGATGTTTCAGTACTCATTTAGATGGAGAAACTTGGTAGGGGGTTGATTTAAATCAACCATGTTCCTCCTCTTCAGCACAAGCTACCACGATCACCGAAAAGAAATGTGGGAAAGTTGCATTCCAAAGCATCTGAGCAAAAGGTGCTTTAGGCACAGAGAGACGCTTCCACAGAGATGGCTCTTAGCTTTACCAGTCCAAAGGCATGGAAGATGTTGTATGGAGGATGGGGATTTGAAGGAGGTGTGTGGTGGAAAGTACTGTAATGACAGGAAGATATTTTGCCATGGATTGGCTTGGGAGCAATGTGACATCTCAGGAGTAACGTTCGTGTTGAAACGAGGACAGAGATGCAGTGTGTCCTAAAGGATAGAGCAGGGCCCCAATCTGGCCCACTGGGGTTCCCCAGGTAACTATGTCCCCTTGCCCTAGCCTTGTTTCCTTTCCCCCAGTGTCCATTTGCTGTAGTTGTTTTCTGCTTTTCCATTCTGCCTCTCTGCCCCACCCTAAAGAGTTGAAATTACTCTCCTAAGGCTTAGTTGGTCCCCATTAAGAACTGTAAGGAGAACAAGCTGGCGTTTTTGGTGTTTACCCTCCCCTTTTGCTCCGGACTCCACCCACCACTGGAATTCAGCCCAAACACTTTTCCAAGATGGTCTCTGGCCCTTGGACTGAATTTTGAACCCCACAGACTAAGCACTGGGTCATGGCAATGTTGATGCAGCTCTTCAGACATCCCTAAACCTCGGTCTCCTTCGAATCCAAACTAGCTCACAGGGTTGCTTGGAAGGTTAAAGAGGACAATGCACTTTCCTTGGAGGGAGGGCAGGTTGCAACAGTGGCCGATCCTTGAGACTGGGCACCATGTTGGTATTCCTACTGGTCCAGCTCCCTCACCCATTGTTTCTGTCCCCCATCATCCTTCCTCTCTCATCTCAGGAGCAGCTCTCACGGCCCATGTTGAAAGGCCTGAAAGTGACCCCCAGTTCCATGACCCGGCGCATCCTGGAGAAGCAGCGGGAGCTGGTCCAGCGGTGTGAGAGGCTGCTGCAGGGTGGGGAGCCGTATCGGATTGATTCCGTGCTGCACCTGGAGGCCTCCCTGCAGAGCAACCAGAAAGACTTCCTGGAGGACTACAGCCGCCGCTACAAATCACACGCCCTCATGGCAGGGGCAGCCATCGGGGTGGGTGCTGTGGGGCTGGCTGGTGGGGCCATTGGGGCCGGGGTGGCCGGCGCCATCCTGGCCGCGGAAGCCATTGCACTGGGCACAAGTACTGCTGCCACGTTCGCCATTGGGACCGTGGCTGGGGCTGGCACCTTTGCCCTTTTTGGGGGAGGCGTAGGGGCAACTGTGGGAAGAAGAATAGGGGAACACCAGGCCCGGGAGGCCGAGGGCATGTCTGACAGTGATGCTGAGGCCGAGGAGACAGAGGATGACCCATCAGAGGAGAGGTGCCTCATCGGCCCGGATGACACACACTAGAGTTGACTGAGGGGCTGCTTCTGCCACTGTGGCAAGTCACGGGAAAATAACTGTTGTCTGCTCCCGTTCTATTGTCATGCAGGCATGAATCCCAGGGGCAGGGGGCCAGTCTCACATTCTGTTCTGTTCCTCAAAGGGGTTGGCTATAGGAGAGCAAAATGACCTGCACCCCACAGCTCACCGCTGTCAGAATATGGGCTTGCTGATGAAGAGTGACAGCTTTGCAGTCTGGCCTTCTGATGCTAGGCAATATGCTGTCCCCAGTGGTAACAAAGGGGTAGTGCATCCTTCTTGGTCTTTCTCAGGGTGATACATAGCCCAGGAGATCAAGTCCCTGGAGGATCCTAACCCTTTTCCCCAACAACTGCCCTGAGATACCAAGCAGAGAGGAAGGAATGAGGAATTAGGATCCTGCATCCACAGTCAGCAGCAACCAGGGATAGCAAACCAGACAGCATTGCTTTTGCTGTGCCTTTGGCCTTGCAGGGCATTGTAGGGCCAGCACAAAGCAATACATGGGGTGGGGGGATGTTGTGTCTTTAAGAGGATTCTTTACTTCAGCTTTGCTTACATGCAGCAAAGCAGTGATCTGGGGAACTGAAGCATTGGAAGTTCTCCCACCGCACATGCGCGCGCGCGCGCGCGCACACACACACACACACAATTCTTTTTGGCTTTTTATTTGAGTAGGTCAGTTCAAATGTGACCATCTTTCATGGGGTTAATTCAGGGGTAGGGAAGCTGTGGCCTTCTAGATATTCTGGTTGACAACTCCCATCAGTCCCAGCCAGTAAAAATGTTGGAGTGATAGGGGACTCCCCATAACATCTCGGGGCGGAGGAGTCGCAAGGTGCCCATGCTTGGGCTTGATTCAGTGCTCTCTCAGTTCAGTCTCTCAGGTGTACAATAAGGGCTAATTTAGGGATGCAGTTCCCAATGCAACTGGACTGCAGGAAGCGCTGCTGGGAAATTTGCATTGCTTTATGGGGACAAAGCCTCTCCTTGCATCCTCAGGGAAGTGTGTCCTTGCATCCACAGTAGTGTTTGACATGTCCAGAAACCAGACAAGACATCTCCTGGGAGGCTTTGCTGTCAGAAGGATGCGTGTTCCCTGCTTTATATCCAAGTGCCTTGGCTTTGATGGTTGTTTACAACTTGCTTTTGCCTGCCTGGCCTCTCTTGGAAATACATTTATTTATTTCACAGTCTGGTTTGCACATTTCTCTCCCCCACCCCCCTTTCTGTCAGACTGCAGACTTGAGATCCAAAACATCACTTTCTGCTAGTCTGCCCTGCCCCCATACCCAGAATGCAACCCACTTTACGGGAACACAAGAGGAGCACTGGCGGGAACACAAGAGGAGCACTGGCGTTCCCTGGATCTTTGCCATTATTATGCTGTAGCCTCAGGTGACTTGTAGTTTTAATTGCAGAGGACAAAATCCAGATGTGAACAAACTGTAGTCAAAACAAACCTATTGGCAGAACATGTGAGAAAATTGAAGGATGTGGGGTAGGTTATGTTCAATCTTCATTTCCATCTCCTGACTTTACTTTGCAATTTGGACTGTTCTCCAGACCCACCAGATGTTAAAGCACTAGGTCCAGGCGGAAAGATGCAATGACTGAATATGACCTGGGGAGGGTGCAGCCTTTACCAGTACAAAAATAACGAACTGCCTATTAAACCGCCTTTCCATTACAACTGTGTTGGCTTCTCAGACATCTCAGTTTCAGAGAATGGGCTTTTATTTCAAAGTCAGAACTAAACAGGTACAAAGAGGATGATACGTTATTCTTTCAGTTGGGATCTTTTCTCCCTTGCTCTGTAATTTTATCGTTCTCAAGTTGCAAGTTAATATAGCCAACTCTGCAAGCAACCCAAAATATAATGAAGACAACCTCTCCTCTCCGGCAAACCTGGGCACATATTCAACACACATTTAAATGGGTTTCAGACAAATTTAACTGTCTTCAGCTTGCCCATCGAGCAGAGGCTGGGCCAGTTGTTGCCCTCCAGATGTTTTGTGTGCAACCTCCATGACTGCCTATGCTGCTGATATAATCTTTATGACAAAACAGCTGGAAGGGCACACGTTCTTCATTTCTGCCCGAGAACTGTGGGAAATGTGCCCTTATGAGATGGTAGGACTTCCTTTGTTTATCTAGTCAGAGGTGGGAGGGCTGATGCTAGGCTTGGGTGGGCCCCCAACATGCAGCCACCAGTGCTGACTAGGCTGCCCCACAATATCTTCCGCTGCCAGATCTTACTCATGGTGCTCCGATGAACTTACCCAGTGGACAAATGCAGCAGTCGGTATGACCCTTCTCAGGACAGTGGAAGCCAACTATTTCCTGCACTGGGCAATGGACCCCTTGGTGTCAGTCATTCCCATGTGGGCATAGAAATGGTGGGTGCCCAGTTCTGGTGTGAGCCAAGTGCCTGCTGCTTCCCTTCTTCCAGCCAATTTTGTGGCCACCACAGCCAACCACAGGGGGAGAGGCTGGTTAGTGGAACCTGCAAGGGCATCAGTCATCTCTACTGGGTAGGCAATGCAACCTATTTCATGGGAGCAGAAGATTGGCAGGAGTAGTTGGGGTGGCACCAATGGACCCTCCTGATGATGCTGGGGTTGAGGGGGAGTAGACTTTTTCTACCTTGGGGGCACAATTCCCAAGATATAATCTGTCAGAGTATCTGAGCCAGGAATGAATGGGTAGAAACCAGCAGTGGGAAGAGTAGGCACCAAAATTGGGCAGAGCACCACCTTTTCTCTCTCCACCACCCCTCTTCCTTTCTGTCCCTTCCCACCCAAGCTGGTTGCCAGGGAAGAGTCAGATCACTGTCATCCAAGTTTTGAGCTAACTGCTTGCAGAGGGCTTTGGAAATTCGTCGGAGGACCAGACAGGTTGCCCTGTCCTTATCTAGATTCTGATTTTGCAGATGCAACAATTAAAAGGGTTTGAAACTGGCTTAAATGTGTGAGTGCAGACATGTTTCCCATGGCAACCCTGTCCCTTACTGAATCCATCCCAGAGCCAATTCCCTTTCCACCATATTGTTTTAAAAATAACAATAACAATTGGCAATCCATCCTAAATCCTGTTTCCAGAGACTGCTGGAGTGGGGACTGGGAAGAGGCCACCATCCAGGCTGGGTCTCAGACACGGCGTATTTTCATCTCGCTTCTCTTCAGGGAGTAGTAGAAGCCCTTCCACTGATACCAGTTAATGCCATTGGCATAGGAGAGGTGGGCTCCGCCTAGGTAGAAGCCATTGAGGTTGGAAAAATGGCAGCTCTTGAACCACCAGGCACCTGAAGAGAGGGCTGCGCAGTTCTGCACATAAAGGTCCTGGTCGCGGTCAAAGGTGGAGAACTTCTGGCCACTGTGGTAAGACAGCGAGTCACCTGACAGAAGGGCAAAGAGGGAAAAAGGACAAGTGTGATGATTTCAAAAGGCTGGTAGGATCTGACTTCAAGTGGATATCATTGCCATTCAAATTGCAAATGGCCAGCAAGCTGCGAACAGCCTGGAGAAATGGTAGCATCTTCCTACTGACATCCTGGCTTTCCCATGAGACACCCAGGCCCTCTGATGGCATAGGAGATGCACTGCAGGCTAATAGGAAAAGCCTGTAGAGACACCCTTGTTGCAAGGAGCTGCATGTCTGCATATTAGGCTTAGACCAAATGCCATCCCCACGAGAGACTCCATTTGATTCTATCAATGTGCCCTTTACTTGCAAATATGCAATCCTGGCTATTACAACACCCCACCCCAAAACGAAGCCCATTCAAAGTCATGTGGTGATGAGTTTCATCACTGCTTTGTTGTGCAGATCCTTTTTCTCAAGTAGAGCAACTAAGGAAGAAGCACAGAAGAAGAAAAAAATAAAGAGCCATGGGAGCAGTCTTGGAACCAGTGGATTGTGTATAATGGACACAAAACCTTGGGTTCATTGTAGAAGCAGGTGAGGAGGTAGAGGTTGGGGCTGGTGGACTCTGAATTACCTAACACATTTACTCCATCCCAGGGAGTACTGAACCTTTTTCTGTGCAAGGGCCCTACTTCATTTCCAAGAAGGGTACAATCGGATCAGAATGCCTATAAGCCTTGGAACCTGGAGGATTATGGACTGGGGAGCAGTGAGATCTCGGTTCTAGTCTCCACTTGACAACTTTGGGTCAGTCCCTGATTCTCAGCCTAACCTGCTTCACCAAGTTGGTGCTGTAAGCATAAAATGGAGCAGAGGCCTATGTAAGCTGCCTTGGGTTCCTCACAAGAGGAAAAAAGGCAAGGTATAAATGCAATGTGATCATCATCACCACCATCATTGTATGCAGGGCATGGGAAGCAGCTTGCCTGATCTCATCTCCCCACTCCTCCTACCCTATGTTTCTGCTAGAAAGCCAACTTTGACTGTCTAGCTGTGGCACTTCGCAGAGGACGGGAAGGAGGCTGGATGCTCCTCAGGATATGTCACACCCTGATAGACCAGCCTCTTCCTCTCCCCACTCCCTCTTTACTCCTTCTTCGAAGTCACTCTTATGACCTCGGAGAAGCAGCTGTCTGTAAGGAGGCTCCAAATGCACAATCCCTGCTTGAAGCTCATTCTACATCCTTGGATCTGAGAATCTGACAGCCATAGAATTCTCCTACTGCTGCCAGTAATGAAGCCTCTGGAGGGGCATTTCAACCTTTCAGAATGAAGAAAAAGCTGCACAAATGCCAAGAAATTACCCAATGATAAGGGAAGGGGGCATGACCATGTAGGGAATCCCAGAGGGTTGGATGTGACCCCTGGGCCAGAGGTTTTGAACCCCTGTTCTCATCCAAAAGTTCTCCTCCTAGTTTCAGACACAGAAAGTTATATTTGGGGTTAGAGAAAATATGTTTGGAGCTAGCACACGCTTCAGTTAAGGTGTAATTGCAGGAGGGGGGACTGGGCATCAGGAACTGGGGACTCTCACCTGCCCCTCCATCAGTAAAGCTGGACACATGTAGCGTGTAACCATCTTCCTCTGCACTGATCGCATTTGGTGAAATGGAGAAGTCAGAGAATTTGGCAAAGGCTGTGTTGTTCTCAAAGTCCTCCAGCTCCACACGTAGCTCATATTTCTGCTTAAGGGTCAGGAGATGGATATTTTGCAGCCCTGGGCCATGGGAAGAAACATGCATTAGGTACACGAGTTCTACAAAAAACTGTCTCTCTTCCCTTTTAGGAACTATGGTTTGTCTGATCCAGCAGTGTTTGACAGAGAAAAGCTGGCCAGACAGAGGATCTTGGCTGTACCTCCTGGCTGAGCATCATGAAAACACAACATTCACACTTAGCATTGGGATTGTCTGGGCCCAAGGACACATTTCAGCCACTTAAAGGAGAAACCCAAACATTTGGCATTCCAGAAAGTTCTGGCAAAGAACGATGTCTGGGTCAAGAGCTAGAAGGAAAGAAGAATAGGAAGAAGGCAGCCAGAAAAAGCCTGGGAAGAGAAAAATCGAAATCCTTTGTAGTTCAGCTTTTGTGGCCCAAGAAAGGAAGGAGAAAAAGAAGGGTGTTTCCCAGTACACATTTTTATTTACCCAGCCAATATTCGCCATCTGCTCTGCCGAAGCCAAATCTGTAGTCATTCCAACCCCGAAAGAAACTGACTGAACCATTGAAGCGCTTCTGGAAAACCTGGAAAACAGAGCCAAAATGGACAGGGGAAAAAGGTTGAAGGAGCATCTCTCATGAGTGGGAATCTTCCCAAGCAGCATTAGTGCATCACCAAAGAAGTCATGAATCCCCACAAGTGATGGTGGGGTTGCATGATGTAGACAGTGAACCTTCAGATGTACTCACAACTCTGCCTACTTAACATCTGCTATTTCCATCATTTATTTTATTCAAGGTCCTTGTATTCCACCTTTCCCTGCTGTAACATCCCTTACAATGGTGGCTAACAAAACAAGTAGCAAAACATGCATAAAACAGAACCAAGACAAATCTTAACAGTCCAATGTTAAGAAGTTCAGTGTTATTTTATGTGAAAATAGCAGCAGTAAAAGAATCATCTGACCTGCCACCTGGAACTGAATTGCTGACAGCAAAAACTGTGCACTGACTGTGTTTCCGGGGACTATATTTCAACAAAGGCCCTTTCTAACCGCTGATGCCATGTGCCTTGTCTCTGAAGCAAGGGTTTTTGATGTTACTTTCAAAGTACAGGCAGACTCATATGGAGAAAGGTAGTTCTCAGCCCAAAACTGTTTCAAGCTTTATACCTGGATGCAAATAGGAAGGCAGCCCAAGTACTTTTTCTTGCCAGTGAAATAAAATTCAGTAAAGCAAGTCCAAATTAAGAATGTGGCTTCTGTGTTTTGAGCCAGTTGATGTTCCTAGGTGGTCTTCAAGGCTGCTTCACATAAGACACTTTTCAGATGTTACCAGAGCATACAGCTAGGGGGAAGAGTGCTCTGGCCCCATCCATTGCTCAAAACTAGAGTAAGAACACCAGAAAGGTGTTTCTGTAAGCTGTTCTGAGGCTGCTGCAAAGGATGGCATATAAATGTTTTAATTAAATTTAAATTAAATTAAATTAAAAGGAAAGATCAGGCTGACTCAAACTGCAATTAAACACCCACTTACAGTGCAAAATGTTGCTCACATCATGAAAAACTAACCTTTTTCCCCTCCACTCCCCTTCCCTTGTGTGTCTTCTCTGCTGAATTTGCAAGCTTGATTTTTATTGATGTGCAACGCTTTGAGAGACAATAATTGTCCAAAAAGTGGGATAAAATGCAGCAAATGAAATACATTTCCCTCATCATGGCTGGTTATTTTTGCAACTAGTGCAGTAACAGATATTGGTGGAAGATGCATCATGCCAAAAATGCCTTCCCTTACATCATTTCTAACATGCTTCTCTTTGGCAGAGATGTTTCCTTTCTGAATAATGATTCACGCAGAATTTGCACTCAATGTAAAAGAGTATTTGCTCTTTTGCACCCATAGATCTGAGTGCCCAAATGTCATTCTGCATGCACTAATGATTGGGCATGCACACAAAGAGAAAAATTGATGAAGGATGGATGCTACAGTCCAAAGGGTCAAGAACAGGTCAATGGGCAAAAGGAGGGTGAGACAATTTCCACTGCAACTGTCCCCAAAGTGTTGCACTGTGATGCCTTCTGAAGCTAATGTGTGACCACAGTGTGACTGCTGAAGAAGCTAAGTGTTCCCAACTGGGACAGCTCGTCCCTGGAATCCCTAGTGCTTCCGCAAGGTGAATTCCCCTACACCCAAGCCCAGATTTGTTCTCTCATTACCGTCCATTTCCCATCATCGGTGGTCATGTCGCAGTACACAGGCACAGGGATGTTGGGGCCTGCTGGGTAAATGAGGTACACGCCGTCCGTCTCAGAGCCTTGGTCGTAAACATCTTCGCAGTCTAGTGGAAGGAGATCTTCTCTGCAGAGTTGTGGCTGCTGGGCTGCCCCCATGGAGGAAAACCACCCATGTTAACTAGGTATTGGTAAGCAGATGACTACTTAGGGTTGTTGATGTTTGCTCAAAGGGACCTAATAGTTAGAACAGAAGAAAGATGGGAGTCACTTTGTGTTGGCCTTTCTCTACCTGGTGCCTTCTAGTTGTTACGGACTACAGCTCTCATCAACCTCAGCCATGATGGCTAAGGGTCAGGTATGATAGCTGAGCTACAAAACATCTGGAAGACATCCAGCTAGGGAAGGTTGAACTGTGCTTTTGATGAAACACCTTTCCAGCAGAGGTGATGAAGGAGGAAGTGAAAGAATGAAAGAGAGCAGTTACCAATTTTGCAGAAAGAAAGACAAAGTAAATTGTGAGTTAGCTAAGTGTGAAGCAACTTGGGGTGAAATCTACATGATGGACGCACCTCTTTGTAGATTTCTGTGTGCAGTTTGCTAACAGTGAGAGAGGGGCCAAATCCTGTTACTCTGCATGCATTTCACTCTAAGGATGGAGTAGAATTTCAGAACAGAATTTCTGAATACTGTGTTTCTAGTGTTTTCCTCTCACCAAAAGATAACCAAAATCCATACTGATTTTGGAAGTGAGGTACATGACATAATATTATTCTAACCCCCCCCCCACCACACACACACTTTTCAGAGCAGTGCAGTGTTTCAGAGACAGCTTTATAAAGTATTGGTCCCATTTGGGGAGGAGAGTCCTGAAGAAAAATGGGTACCCAGATTACAGTGGAAATGAGGGCCAAAGAAAGCATTGCTACTTTAATGACTTAGCTGCTCTCATATTTCCACAGAGTAGATGCAGGGAGTAATTCATGCACATGGGCATTTGGGGGCCTCTGAAATTTCTGTTGCAAAATATTGAACCATAAGCTGTATACTCCTTTGTGCTGGGTCTTAATCCAGATCACTAATTCCTAGGGTGGAGGGGAAGGTTTGTTTTGGCCTTAAGTCTACTGATTTCAGTGGTTTTAGTGCAGTACATTGTGGATGGGATGTTTTCTACTGCCTGATTAGCAGCAAATGTACAAGCTGAGCATTGGAAAACAGGTGAGCATCCAGCCGGATGCCACTCATCTTTGATGTAGCATCAACACCTAAAAAGCATCTATTCATACCTGAGCTCTGCTTCCCCCATCCATCTCCCATAACTTTTCCAACAGCCACATGCAAAAGCAACAAGCCAAAGAAGACCTTTTCCATACACGGATCTATTCTAATTGTCAAACTGTTTTTATCCAGCACCCACCCAATCAGATGCAGGAGCATGAGGGGTGGTCTACCAACCGTTAAAGGGCCTACATGTTTATTTAAGCAAGTATCTGGTAGCACTCAGCCTATTAAAGAAACAGCTAAGCAAGCAAAACCCTAAATCAAAAAGCAGTCGGCAGTGATGACAAGCAGTGGCATACAGAATTTGGTGGCTGCTGTAAAACAGCTCCGTCTAGGTGATTTTCCTTATATGGGGAAGTGTCTGTCTGAGAAGCGACTCCCAGTGCACTTTGAGCAGCTTCATCCATGGCAAAGCAATGAAGAAAAATGCAGCCCTCCAATTGTCATGAATAAAATGAAGCCTCCTACCCACAGCCCCCTACTCAGGGCCTACCCATGGAGGACCATGGGAACACTAGATGTTACTTAACTGGTCCACTCATTTATCTTGCCACAAATCACGGGGCTGATAAATTTACACATTCCCCCCTCTGATCCCCCAATCTATCAGTTCCCCCCTCCCCACAAAGCAGGGAGTCTGATTTTCACCACTTGCTTGTCTAATCTCAATATTCATTATCCTTGGCATTGAGCTATACATTCTGAATCACCTTCCTCCTCCTCAGCTTCAGACTCTGAAATCTGTAGCTTGGAATGCTGCATTTTGGGAGAAGTAGGCACGGTCCCTACATAGATCAACATCAGAGGCCTTTCCCTGTACCTCTCCCATCATGAACATACAGGACAGGGCCTTTTCAGTTATGGCACCTAGGTGAATGAATGTTCTCCTGAAGAAGGCCCAACAATTGAGAAAAGCTGGCTGTTTGAAAGGCCTTTGGTATTAAATCAAACAGATTGCTCTTTAAAGCTGCCCTTGTCTTACTTTTGCTATCATGGTTTCTCTTCTTTGGTTGCATTTTGCATATTCTTCTTTCCCTTTCCTTTCCTTAAAAATACTTGTTCAATCATTGTCTCACTACTGCTCTGCACTGCAGCATTCTCAACTTTTCAAATAAATAAGCTAAATGTTACCCTGGCTTTTTGCATGCTCCATTAATGTGGGAATCACTTGACAAGTAATGGAATGGGGAGCACAGGTCCAGTGGTGCATTGCTTGGTCCAGGTTCAACTAAAAGGTTTCTAGGGCCCCAGAAAGCCACGTCCAATCACAATAAATGATACTAGATGCCTAATGGGAGTTAAGCAGTGTCAGAATCTGGATGGGAGACCTGAATTCTGAACTGAGAAGGGGGTGGTCTTCTAGACACATTCCAAATGCCCATCCTGATACAAGGCAGCTTTCCATGTATCCCAAGTCCTCCACAGCTGTGGTTTTCATAAGGACTCTGAGATAGACCTTCCCTGGGCCAGATGTTAACCCTCATAGGACTGGTCAAACACTGTCAAGTGACCATGGTCAAATGTGGACAAATATTTCCATGATGCAAAGAATGCTATTGACAGGGTTTATAAAGAAGAACAACCCAGAGAGTTCTTTTTAAGCCCTGGGTTGTCACAAATGTGGCATCGAGCACAAATGGTTTCAGCAGCAGCAACCCTTGAAGCACCCTTGCTTAGTGTAATCTGGGAACCAGGAATTCTGGCTTGTCAGGTGAAAGATACTCCAGCTTGTCTTTCCCTCCAGAAAAGTTAGTTTTGCTGGTTTGCAAAATATACAAAATAACTCACAGATGAAGCATCCCTGCTCATACTTGCAGTGGGAGCCATTTGGGAACACACACCAGCATATTGCCACATCCACAACAAGCCAGCATGTAAATTATCTATCTATCTATCTATCTATCTATCTATCTATCTATCTATCTACCTATCTACCTATCTACCTATCTACCTATCTATCTATCTATCTCCTGAGTGGTTCTCACCCTTGAACCATACCACTGTGTGTTGGCTTTCCCTTAGTGGGAGAGTTGTTCTCAACTGTAAACTTAAGGAAGTTATACCAAGTCAGACTACAAGTCCAACTAGCTCCATATTTTCTGTACCAATAGAAAGTTTCTAAGAGTTTGGAGAAGAGCCTCTCTAGATGGCAGGACCTGAACTCAGGACCTTTTCAACGCAAAGCATGAGTTTTTCCAATGAGCTACGGGAAGCAAAATGTCTGGGCAAGTGCTTACCCTGTTGATTGATGGCCTGTCCTTGTGAGGGTGGCAACTGGACAAGGAGAAGGAGCACCAGCGAGCTGGGCAGGAACACAGAAACCTGAGAGAGCCAGAAAGAAAGAATATGACAAACATGACAAGCAATTTTGGCAAACAATGGTGCAGAGAGGCCCCTTGCAGGGGCAGGACTCAACAGGCAAGGGTTCCAGCAATATATGTCATTCTTCATCAAGAGAAAAGAGAATGAAGAATGCCATTCCAGAAGCTGTTGTGTAGCATGTTAGTGATTATCTGCCTAGGCCTCATTTGGATCAGCCCAAAGCAAGCCCTTGGGCATCTTTGGTCATGGAAAATTATTTCATGATGCAAGCAACCACACATCAGACCTGTTGGTGCCTGAGATGGAAAATCCAAAGTGACATCCACTCTTGCACTCCTTAGTATGAGGCAAAACACAAGGCAAACTGTAGCACGGTATTGTTCTTCTATAGCTCACATTTAATCCTCTGGGACTTGCATGGGAAGACTTGGCAGTGTCTCATAAGCCCTCAATCAGATCTAGCACTAGGGTTTAACAAATCTGTTCTATCTTTGTTTTGTGGATTGTCAAGTATCTTTTGTTCTGTTATCCACTCATTGATGGAACAGAGTTGGCTTTTTTAGGGAAGTGCTAGAATTTTGTTCCACTTGTGCCAATGTGCATTAGTACAAGTGTAAGTTTGCATGAACAACCCCTTCACCCCAATATTAAACAATTTCACAATCCATGGAATCCATACGAACCACTCTGCTGCATAATCAGCAGGTTGGAGTCACAGAAAACCAAATTTATTTTAATTCACTGCAGATTTCTTCAGAATCCCAATACAGTGCTTTGCCACCCTCCATAATAATCAAAATCTGCTGCTTGAGTCAGGTAATGCACTTACATCTGACCCAATGGATAGCTCAGCAGGAGAGTCAGCAATGCCCAGAATATGCATGAGTTCTGTTGAATACTGCAAAGTTTACTAAAAAGAACAAGATTGGCATATTAAAGGAGAAGAAGATAAAAGGTTACAGAATACGGAGCTACATCAGGAGGGCCAAGACTTGAATATGAAGAGATGCTAGTTTTTTCACCCATCCCTAATCCTGTGCCTTCAACAATGCTTGATCTGCAAGCGGCATCTGATAACCTTTATGCTTAGGATGGAAGAACCCTCATAGGCTGATGCATCAAGTTAAAGGCACTTAAACAGGCCAGACTGTCTTTTATTTTCTGTTTGGTTGGCCATTATGAATGGGAAAGTCCAACACCATGACTGGTACTCACAGAGAACCAACAAACAAACACGAGGGGACTGGGATGGTTGTATTTCAACATAATACACAACTTCACTGAGAAAGGGCTCTTCCTGGAAATTCCCGTTCAATGAAATTGCTCTCATGACCCCAACCTCTCTGTCCAACAGGAGGGTGGAGAATTTCAAGAGGCCATTAGTGCTCAGCTGTGCGCATTACTGAATTTTGCAATTCACTGTCACAAGAAGTAGTGATGGTCACCAAAATGGATAACATTAAAAAGGAATAGTGTCCAAGGAGAAGTGTCAGCTGTCAGACGAGACAATACTGGGAATGCTACATGGACCTATAGACTGAGTTCCACCAGCATGACAACCCACCTTCAGCGGTTGAGTGTGGATTGAATGTGGGTTATTGAAGAACCACAGGTTGTCACTGAAACATGACTTATGCTGCCTGAAGATAAGAATATAAGAGCAGCCCTGCTCAATGAGATCAAGGGTCCATTATTCTGTTCACATAGGGGCAACCATTTGCCCATGGGCATAAATGCAATAGCACCTTCCTGCCCATGTTCCCCAGCAAGTGATGTGCATGGGCAAACTGCCTCTGACATGGGAGGTAGTTTTATGGCCTCAAGGACTCAGCCCTTTACTTATTTATTTATTTAAAACTTTTATATGCTGTCACTACATGCCTCGACATCTCGGGATGGCTCACAAAGGTACAATTAAAACAATAAAACAATAAAAAAATCCATAAAATTATTTAAAAACAAAAAACAAAAAGTGCTGTTAATGATAAAATATTACTTTTTAAAATAGCAAATAAAAAGGTTTTAACCTGGCACCAAAAAGAATATAAACTCAGTGCCAGGCGCACCTGTCCAGGAAGCGCATTCCATAATCCATAATTTATAGCCTCCTCCTTCATGAATGTATCCATTTCCTTTTAAAGGTGAACAAATTGGTGGCTATCACTACTTCTTGTGCAGGTGAATTCTATAGTTTAAATATGTGCTGTGTGAAAAAAAATTTAAAAAAATTATTGGTTCTGAACCTCATACCAATCAGCTTCATTTGATGATCCCCAGTTTTAGCTTTGAGAGAGGGAGAAAAAATCTTGCCTTGTCCAATTTCTCTGCCCCATTAAGAGTTTTGTACATGTATAGGGTGTCTTCCCTTACTCACCTATTTTGTGAGCTAAACAATCCCAGATCAACACCCAGATTCCCCAGGTTATATAAATTGCTCTACCCCTTGATAATTTTACACTACATTCTAAGAATGGCTTGCCCCACAGATTTGTATAAGGGTCATATGATACTGAGAATACTTTTCCTTATTATGCCACACATGGGAGCCACACTGGGCTGGCATCTTCAACAAGCTCACCACAACCTCAAGATGTGTTTCCTGGAGAATGGCCAGGCCAAGAGAGCAAAGCATGGTGAACAAACCAAGGGATTCCCTCCATGAGTTGCTTGTGGTTAAAAAGCTACAGCTTATTAGTGCAGCAAGGTTCAGACAACACCATAAACAACTCCTGGTTCAACAAGAACCGAAGTTCAACCCTTGAATGTGGGCTATTGTGCTGTCTGAACCCAGTTACAGTATGGCTTGGCAAAAGGCCAAGGGCTCCTTGGAAAATGTAAAGGCCAAAAATGCTTGCATACATTCTTTGATGTCTGATGTTCAGGTGGCGAGTGACACTGCTTATGGAAACCAAAAGGGCTTCAGACACTCACAAAAGGGGAGGTGTCAGCAGGTTAACCCAAGATCTTTAGAGGTGGTAACTCTAAAGGTGGGGGACACCCAGAAATATCCTGCTGAAGCCTGTGCATGTTCAGTCACCATGAAATGCAGACTTTTTGGATGGTGGGACAGGAATGCAATGGAGTGGGATACAAAATCACTTTGGAGGACCTGCTTTTAACTAATAAGAATCAAATTGTAGAATGGCTTCTCTGTCATTACACACTTTCTCTTTAAGGAACTCCTGAAAATCTACTTGAGCAATGACAAGATTCCCAGGAACACAGTTTGGATGAGGCCGCTTTATGTGGAAACATCTGCGTATGCCATTGTTTCACTTGGACATGAAATCTACCTTTGGCCTGCAGCCTGACATCCAGCAAGAACTTGGCAAAAGGACATTAGAACTAGCAGCCATGCCAATCTTGGCTAACACAGTCCCCTTTCCCCTCAGACTGAAACCTAAAATGGACATGGAAAAGTCATCTTATACTCCAAGTGCTTTGCATGGCTAACCATATTAATTCTTTATTTCTATGGCTGTTTTCAATTTTTTGAGCTATTTTGAATCCCCATCCACAGTGGAGGGTGTGGAGGAGCGGGAAAGAGAGAGATGCACAATGTCTGTTGAATAATTTAGTGCAAAACAGAAGTCTGCTTGCTTTGTAAAAGCAATGGATGCTATAAGGGCTTTGCTTCCATGACACAATCTTTGCTGAAAAGCAGCACAGCCACTGCTACTTTGATCTACCGCTGAGGGAACGGGAATTGTTTGGAAGGAAAAATCAAGGCCATAAAATCACAAGAATGCAGGCTGATTCAGCAGTATATCTCACTAACTTCAGCGGCATTTACTCCCAAGCGTGCTTAGGACTCAAGACAAAATATGATTTTGATGCACAGCTCTGCAAACATAGCCAAAAGCAATCTGAGCATGTTCAGAGTGCATTTTTGCCACCACAACGTAAACTGCAACCATCTACCCAGACAGCTAGTACTGGGATAAATATATTCCCGGTAGGAACACTTCCAGGTGTTCAATGAACAAGAGAAGTGGGGAACAGGAAGCATTCCCCCAGTTCCTTCTTCATGTGGTCGCTTGCATTAGCTTACATAATCTCCATGCACACAATTTCTGTGTGTGTAGGCATTTTGTGTGTGTTTGTAATTTGCACTCGGGAATCCAGATAGTGCAGACAGTCTGTGCAGACAAGAACTCTGGAAGTAAGGAGTGGGGATACCACTTTGCATGTACCATGCATCATGCCCCTCCATGCTTTCACAGAAGGTCTGAAGACATCTTTTACATTGTTCAGTATATTTGCCCACCTTCATCCTTTGCAATCTGTGGATCTCCTCTTCCTCCTTTCCTATTTTTAAAATGTATTTATTACACTTATATTCCACCTTTTAAAAAAAACCTCAAAGCAGATTACACCATGCTTTTCCTGCCCTCCATCTCATCCCCACAGCAACAACCTTGTGAAGTAGGGTGGACTAAGTCTTTGACTGGCCCAAAGTCACCATTGGCTCCATGGCTGAGTGGGGACTAGCATCTAGATCTCCTGAGTCCTATTCCCACACTCTTAACCACTATACCACACTGGCTCATATATTATCCCTACTTGTCCCTCCATCTCTTTCCCTTATTGAAAATAGAACTGGAAGAAATTTGGGACAGATTGCCCCCCCACCCCCAATTCCTTCTGAAGGTTTGCAAATCACCAAGAAGAGGGTCTTACATAATCAACCCTCCCACCACCATCCTCAGTCAACTCCCTGTAGTGCTGCACACCTTGGATCAGATCAGGGATTTTATTTGGTCCAAAATTAAAAATGCAACTACAAGATTGGCTTTTGATGCTGCACTGGTCCACTTAGAAACCATGCCCTAGGCTTGGTAGCAGTCAACCTGACATCCCAACCAGGCCCCTCCAGGTGTGACTACAATTCCCATTTTCCCCACCCAGAATAGGCAATGGTGGGAGTTGTGACTCAATGAAACATATGGAAGGCACCAGGTTGAAAAACACTCCTTTGGTCAGTTGGCTCAAACAAGCATTACAGGGACTTGGGAACTCAACTGCAGTGTAAATAAAGCCCAAGAGCCCTGCAGGATTTGATGGAAAGTCAGGTTAGGCCAGTGTCCTGTTTCCCTGCAGTGGCAAACCAGATGCCCCCAGAAACCCAAAGGCAGGCTCAATAGCATCTGGTCCTCAGAGGTATTGTACACCTACATCTGGAGACTCTATGTATTTACAGCTCCATCCTGCTCTCCAAGGTATCTCAAAAGCCCCTTTTGCAACAGTGCATCCCACCCATTAAATCCATGCAACAGTTGTGTCGCTCACTATTGGAGTGGGGCGCTGATTTCATGGGGTAAAGGGAAAGATACTCCGCAGTCCAACGCTGAGAACCAGAAGCAGAACTGGAGTCCACCCGCCATCCAAGGTAAGCGCATCCCCTCCCGTCGGACGAGCACATTACCTTCATGATCTCCGGAGGCTCCTCGCTTGCGAGTCCTGTTCCCCGGTTCACACGGGACTGGACAGACTGTCTTGAGGAGCTGCGGCTCCCCCCACCCACCCGCTTCCTCCCTTGCAGGGTCTGGCATGCAGCTGCACAGGTCGCCTGCCCACTCCTCCCACCCCACCGCCGGCCCACCAACCCCTCCCCCAGGCCAGCAATCAGAGGCGACGCTGGGGCTGCAGCCCAGAAGGAAGGAGCTGCTGGGGCGGGAAGCGGGGGAAATGTGCAAAAAAAGGAGCAGGGAGGCAGGAAATGAAAGTTGGGGAGAGGGGCGGGAAACGCGGAGCGAGCCAAGCGCTCGGAGGCTTTTCGGAGCTCTTGGCAAGACAATGCAGTTATTGTTCACCTTCTGCACGCACGTGCAACAGCCCCCGCCCCCACCGGTTTCTTTCTCCCCATCACTTTTTCGGATCCTCGGGAACCACGGCTATGAGGCGTCCGTCCCTGTGCATTTCCCCCCAAAAGCCGGGTCTCCTAGACGTGCTGAAAAGAAATCTAACTCTAAATCTTAAAAAAGACGAAACCGCACCATCTTTTGCAGCCGCGCCGCCAAACTTCAGTGGCAAGTCACGGCTGGTGTTCCTGAAAACGAGGAGAAAGCAGCCCCTTTTTTGCTGCTACAGCTTCAAATGTCGGTGGCCAATTTGGCGGGGGGGTGGGGGTGCCTTGCTTAGTGGTTAAAGCAGAAAGGCAGGGAACCAAGGCACCTGTACCTTTGAAAAGGACCTTGAAGTCAGTTGGAAAAGCAGGAGGCGTGGGTATTCTGAAAGAAGCATATAATCCGAAAGGTAACATATACCTGGAAGCCAGGATTTATGGGTTACTGTGTGCTGTTCAGGGCCAATAAAAAAGAATGGGGGGAAAAAGCTTAGGCAGCCTGGGACTTAGGATTCTAGAATACTTTGAAGGAGGAGTGTGGCCAAATAGTTAAAGGAGGAAACCTGGAAGCCAAGATTCCCAGTTTTGCTGAAACTATAGAAACCAAAATGCTGAAAGAGGAAGGTTGAATTCTTGAGTTCTGACCCTACCTTTGTAAAGGAAGCAAGTTTTATTAGTATTATTGTTATGTTGCATTTATATCCTGCCCTAATTCCTCTTGTGACGAACCCAAAGCAGCTTATATAGGTCCTCCACTGCATTTTATCCCCACAACAACAACCCTGTGAGGTGGGTTGGGCTGAGAGTGAGTGACTGGCCTGAAGTCACCCACTGAGGACTAGAACTGGGTCTCCCAAATCCCCAGACCACCCTCTCTGTTGGTATTTATTTCTCAGGAACTAAGGATGTTGCTTTATGCCAGGTCAGGCCAATATCTACTCTGGCAGTAGGTCTCCACAGTGTCAGGCCAAAATCCAGGAAAATCAGATGCATTCTTTTGGTAGGAGATTCGCTGTAACCTCCGCTGAACTGCCTCAAAGCATTGTTTACAATTAGTGTGCATAAGGCATCCATTTCAAGTCTTGGAGATTGGACAAGAGCCCAGTGAGTGGGTCCCCCACCTTTGGATCTCTTCACATTTTCCACCCACATATGGCATTGATTTATTTAAAGCATTCCTGTCACACCTTTCCATGTGCATCTGGAGGCTTAGGCTAAACATAAAAATGACAACACTGCCATGTATTGGCATTTCTTGCTGCAAGTATATTACAGCTTAATTATAGAGGTTCATTCAGAAGTAAGTTCAACTTTGTTGGAAGAGGTTTCAAGGTGTTTTCATGGAATCAAAGGATCAGAAGGTACCTTGGAGATCATGTAATCTAACTCTCTGCTCAGTGCAGGCTCTGAAGTTTAGTATACAACTACAGTACCCTGGAGAGATGGACAATTCAGACTCTGCTTAAATACCACCACTGAAGGGGAGCTTGGCACCACTGGAGGCAGCCTATTCCACTGCCAAATGGTCCTCACTGTTAAATGTTTCTCCTAATGAGTTGTGTGATCCTGTGGTTAGAAGGTTAGACTGGGACTTAGGAGATCTTGGTTCTTGTCTCCAAACAGTTATGAAGCTTGCTGGACGATTATGGGCCAGTCCCTGACTCAACAAGGTGGTTGTGAGGATAAAATGGAGAGGAGGAGGACCAGGTCAGCTGCCTTAGGTTCCTTGCAAGAAGCAAAATTGTGGGATAAAAATGAAATAATAGAAATACAATCCCCAGCATACTAATAGCATAATTATAATGTTTAGCTGAATCTGCTTCCTGGCGACTCCCAAACATTGATTCTAGTCTTGTCCTATGGAATGACATGCAACACATTCTCTTCTGCATGACAGTCATTTAAATCTTACCCTAACCCTAGCCCTGTCTTGGAAGACTTTTCTCATGTCTTTTCTTAATATTTTCTTCTTCAGAATGCCCTTGTTAAAATGCAGATTGCTGCAATATAGTAATTCTTCTCTAATGGCTGCCCATTGGCATCACTATTCCACCCTGCACTCTGGCCAATGAAGATTCCAGGAGCATGTTGGGAAATGAAGTAATGGTGGAAGTTGGCTGGGAAAAGAGAAGCAGCAGGGTGATCGTACTCCAAGTTTTATTGTTATCACCACCCACTCAAACTACTGAAAAACATCTAATTTGCCACCTTTAAGAGCTCAATTGCAGAGAAGTAAGGCTAGAGAAAGTGACCTTGCAGAAATGCTGTGAAATATTAATCATAATTATAATAATGATATTTTTGTGGCACAGTAGCAGGTGGCGCAGTGGTTCAAACTGCTGTGCTGCTGGGCTGGTGGATTAAAAGGTCGCCGGTTCAAATCTGCACAATGGGGTGAGTTCCCTTTGCTCCGTCCCAGCTCCTGCCAACCTTGCAGTTCGAAAGCATGCAAATGCAAGTAGATAAAAAGGTACCACTTCGGTGGGCAGGTAACAGCATTCTGTGCACTTTGGTGTTTAGTCATGCCGGCCACATGACCACGGAGACTGTCTGTGGACAAACGCTGGCTCCCTCGGCTAGGAAACGGAGATGAGCACCATCCCCTAGAGTCAGGCATGACTGGACTTAATGTCAAGGGGAAACGTTTACCTTTAGCAGTTCTTGTAATATACATTTTGGGAGCTGCCAGGATGTAATGAATCTTGCCATGAAATTAAGCTGGTTTTAATCATTTGGGTTGTAAACCCATGCCTACTTACCTGAAGTTAAGCTTCATTTTAGCTGAATAGTATGTCTGTTTGAACAGGCATGGAAAGGGTTATCCATTGGATGACTCAATAACCAAATACTCCAGTCTGGCTGGGGAGCATGCAAATATGGAAGTATGCTTCTTCCACAGGCACATCCACAACTGGGTGGGGAGCTGAGAGCACTGAGAAGTGTTCAAGTCACAGCCAGTTCAAACCGTGTTGCTAACCCAGATGAAGCATCAAAGCCAATGCACCCCCACCCTGCAAGGTCTGTAGTACTGAGGTGTTGCTTTGGCATCTCAGGCAGAAAATCCCATAAGTGGCTGTACCCCACCTGGTAGTAAAGACATAGTAATTCTAAATTATATAACCAATAAAGTGTACCTTCTTTTTGTCATCCACAATCAGCTGCCTGAAATACTCTGCCTACCGAGGAGATGATGGATTATATAGGAAGGGCTCCAGTGTACAGCTTCTGCTGCCTGCACTGTTGATTTAAACTACATTGCATTTTAACTATGTTTTTATGTTTTAAACTGTTCAGAAAGTTCATGAGCTGTGAATGGCATATCAAACCTGTTAAATAAATAAATACCATGAGGGCTGGACCTGGCCTAATTTGTGCATGTTGCAACCCTTCCACTATGTCCAAGTTCATCCTTCCGCAACCTGGTGCTCTCCAGATGTTTTTATCTACAATTCCATGAGCCCCCACTAGAACTTCCAATAGTCAGGGATTATGGGAGTTGAGGCTTAAAACATTTGAAAGATACCATACCAAGGAAAACTGACAGAGATGAAAATAAGGACACCCCTATATACGTTTCTCCTCTCCCTATCACTGAGAGAGTCATCTTTGTCTCACCTAGTGATATCACAAATTCTCATGCCTGTTGTATGCAGAGTTGCCAGGTTTTTAATTGGCCCATGCTGCTATGCTCTTCACTGCAGTACAATTGGCACAAAAATGTTTTCTGTGGCACAGAGCAGCAAGGTAAGTCTCACTGCTACAAAGCCACCTCTCTTAAAGGCTCAGCTGTTCAGGGAGGTTGAAAAGTTGGCAGTCCCAGTTGTCAATGTTCTTTTTTACTTGGCAATGGCCTACCATGCACTGTCTTCTGTAGCTGGGTGTGTTAGTAAGCCGATTGTAAGAGTTTCCGTTCTGTGGTCCATTTATTCCCACAGTGAAAAGAAAATTTCTCTATCTTAAATTATTTCTTTAAAGGTACATGCAGGTCCAGTTTCTGAAGTCAAATCAGGGACATAATGGGAAACTGCTTGCTAGGTGCCAGAACATAAGAACTTCCTGCTGCAGTCAGGGAGAGATGAGATGTCGAAGCCATTCATCCAGCTCTGCTGGGAAGGTTACATAATCAGGCCCCTTCCTCCATGCATTGCTGCCTTAGCAGCTATTGCATCACCATTCCATCAGACTGCACAGAGGGGGAGATGAGAAGTGGGTCCATTCTATTAACTTAGCTGAGAGACCAGCAAATGTTGGGTCTTCTTCTGAAAAAGATTTTCTTCCCCTGCTGTATTCATTCAGGGTTTCACTTTCTCTCTCTCTCTCTGTGGATGGATTTGCATGACATGACTGCCCCACCATGGCATGAGGCTTGCACCTGTTGTCTGCATGTGGAAGCACAAGGTGCCAACAGAAGATTGGGCACCTCATCCACTTCTTCCCAACTCCTGGTTTAGTCTTCCCACAAGTATCCAGGAGAACTTTTGCTCTCCTGCTAGCAGCTCTTTTGGTCTGCCGACACCACCAGCCCAAAACGAAACAGGTTGGTGGGAAGTTCCTGAAGTTCCATGGTAGGCACTGTTCAATTCTTCATTTAAATAATCTTTCACTGATGGACCAGCCACAATTTTATTCTTACAGTCTGGTTTAAAATATTTTAATTTTGCAATCTGAGTTTGCTTTCTTCTTTTATTGTTCACACTTAGGAATCCTCTTGGATGTACAGCAGTATAGACAAGTTGTAAATAAAAAGGTAAATTGTATTTGAAACGTGCACACGCACATGTACTCCATTTGCGTGGCAACACCAAGAAAGAACAATTGCCTTGATGATTAAATGTCCAAAACATTCCAGAACTAGCAACTGGTAGTTATTAGAAACACTAGTTTAATTTCCTTTGAAAAGAAATACACTCCTGGATTTCATAGACTGTTTAATGCCTTAAAAGTAGTACAATTACCTAGCAAGCAAAGATTTGCCATTTTTCTACTTCCAAAATACTTCAAGACATGAGTAGCTGATGCAGTGTGCTTGTCTGTTGTTGTTGAGACATTGCAATCATATCTTGCCTTTCCTCCTTTTGCTTGGGACCCAAAACAGCTTATAAAGTTCTCCTCCACTCCATTTTATCCTCACAACAACAAATCTATTAGGTAGGTTAGGCTAGGAGGCAGTGACTAGCCCAAAGTCACCCACTGGGTTTTATGGCTGAGTGGGAACTAAACACAGATCTGAATCCCAGTTCAGCACTCCTAACCAGTGCACCATGCTAGCTCTCAGTGGTGCTCAGTGGTTATGGAGATGAATACACTGAATTTGGTTCCTGTAAGATACACCCATATATTGCTGCAGGTGTCTGACCCAGTTCAATTACCACATGGGGTAGGGAGAATATTGATCCTTGACTGTAATGTTGATTCCTGACTGTTAATCTGAAAGAGAGTTTTTAAGGATGCTTAAGCAGCAGATATGCAATGCAATTTTGTTTGCCCAATGGGTATGAGTGGAATAAATTAGTGCATGAAGACATGTGCTTCCACTGATGTCAGTCTTATGCAGGGGAGTCAAGGATGATGTATAGAAATTCAGTAGATCTGTATCCTCTGCTGGCCTATAGCTAAGGTGTCCTTCTTTACAAAAAGCAGTCCTTTGTTCCAGTGCCCTCTATTTGAATAACTGGCCAGTCCAAATCTAGTTTGAAGACATGGAGACTTACATGGCAAGAGAAGCATGGGCTCCAAAGCACTCCATCAATTGTTAGCACCTGCACACCAGACTGAGATCACATGGCCAGTCTTCCCACTAGAGTGATATGCATTGTACCTTGATTTAAATTACAGTAATTGTTTCTATCTTTATGTCTATATATCTTGACTAGCATGTGCAACTATTATGCAATTTCCTAGCTCTCTTTTGTTCTCTTTTCAGAGGTGGCCAGTCTGCCTAGGCATACTAAGAGCTTGAGCCATTATCTATGATATCTTTACATTGACTCTCTGAGTTACCCTTTTAGTTTTATACCCATGTTGCAGTTGGAAGAGCTGAAGCAGAGAAACAGGAATTTTAATGATTCATGGTAGAAGAGCAGCTTCAATGGAAGGGAAGTGAACTTTTCCTGGCTCTCAGTTACTGTACTATGCCAGCTCCAAATGGGCTAGTCTCATGAACAAGCCTGTTGCTTGACTGAGGAAATGACCTTAACAGGACCACACAGATGTAAATCAAACATTCTGGAAGTTCTCACATGTCCAGTCATCTTCCATAAAGTATTTAATTTCTCAAGGATCATCCTAATGCTGGACAATTTGCATTCCTTCCTGCTACAGTTCTTGCCAGGTGCTCAAGCTAAGGATGTGTAAGAAAACTGACTGGAAGTGAGAAACGGATGGCTTGGCTCCATAGATTCTTTTCCACAACTCTGTACTGGCACTGACTTGATCTGATGCAAGCTGAGCCAGCAGGTAGACATCTGTTTTTACAATAAGCCACAACTTGCATTAAAAAAAGAAGAAGCTCGAGAAATGTGTGGAAAATTCAAGGCTTCACTCACAAATTGGGAGACTTTATGCAAATTGCAAAGCAGAGGTTTAAATGTTGCACAAAACTGAAATTAGCTTTTGGAAAATTCAAGGTCGGCAAGGTTGGTTGTGTCCCTCTGCATGGTGGCAGGAATGCTTCCATACTTCTCACAATAAAGCTACAACAAGATCAATGACTCAAATCTAATGAGCCAGCCACAATGGGCACACATTGTACTAGAGTTACATAGTACTTGGCACCAAATTTTGCAGAAGCTGGTAAGACAGAAACTCAGCCCAGTTTGTCAATCTCAGATGGAATTACTTTTGCAGTGTTACACATCCCTAGCTGAAACCTTTTCCCATCCCACTTTTGCAACTCATGAACCAGCATTGCCACCAAACTGGTGATAGCAAGACCTATTGGACTACTACTCCCAGCTTCTGCAGCCAGCATAGCTACTGGCTACACTGACTGGGGATGATGGGAGTACTTTCCAACACATCTGGAGAGCACAAGTTGTTGTATACTGTAGGGGGTGAAATTAGTATTTCCTGGAGCAGTAAAAGCAGCCAAATGTCTGTCCCTGAAATCTGTTTGCACCACTGACTTAGAAAAAAAATCACAATGGTGCAAACAAATACGTCATATGTAGCATTCCAAAAATTATTCGTGTCACAGAGTGTGGTGAAAAAAGACATTCAAAATTATCCACCTCCCACTGTCAAATATATGTGATCCCTCCTTCTCCCAGCAATATCAGTGCTTGACTCATTCTTTCAATCACTAATTTGGAATGCATAGAATGTGCTTAGTTGAAATAAAGTTTCAGACCTGAGGGTAAAACCTTCAGTACTTCCAAATTTTAAATCCAGGGAGTCACACCTGAATATTTTGAACCAGTGCAAGAAGTGATTGTAATATTTTGGTCCATGTATTTTGGGATATTCCTCTCTCCCCCACCCCATATATGTGTGTGTGTGTGTGTGTGTGTGTGTGTGTGTGTGAGAGAGAGAGAGAGAGAGAGAGAGAGAGAGAGAGAGAGAGAGAGAGAGAGAGAGAGAGAGAGATTTGATAATCTAGAGTATCACAACATATCTTGAATTTGGAACATTGACAGGTTTGGGGATTTCTCCACCTAAGTTTTGAATCACCTGGTACAAAACTAGTAACAACTCTATCTATCTATCTATCTATCTATCTATCTATCTATCTATCTATACACATATACACACACCCTTTTCCCTACCCAGTGTAAATTCATCCTTTGAGTTTGAAGAATAGATGTTACAACAAAACCAGACATGAGCTCTGTCCCCATATTTACTCCAATGACACTATTAGAGATCCTCATAATGTTAAGTATTAAGTATTAATGTTAAGTAATAATATTACAGCCCATCAAGTTTATATACCCGCCCATCCTCCAATGTGATTTGTACCCCCATTGCCAGCCATACCCTTCTACACAGGCAAACAGGTCAGTCCGTACAAAAAAGAGCAAATGGACACTAAACTGCAACCAGACATCACAAATCTGGCAATGCACAAAACCCATGGGGGAAACACTTCACCCTCCCAGGACTCTCTGGTCACTGGAGCAAATAACTTCAAAGGGGAATTAGGAAGGGAGACTGCTGAGTTATAAATCAACTTCAAGAGGTTCCAATCTATTGCCATAGGCCAGGACTGGAATGAAGGAATCTTCTCATACAGTATGTGTCAATTGTTTTGCCTAGTGCCAGCATGTTCCTGTTTTAAGCAGCCACTGCTATGCGAACAGCCACTCTCAATGCTTCCTGTATTTAATTTTCTTCTGAACTCACTGTTTGCAGTCTCCTGCCACACCCATGCATGAACTGTATACATTGCTGAAATTGTCACCACTTCATAATTGCGATCCATGAAAGCTTCTGCCAAAATAAATGTGTTAGTCTTTAAGGTGTCACAAGATGCTTTGTTGTTTTTGCTGCATAGCTACCCCCACTCCGGAAAGAGTTTAAATAATTGGCTTGTCTTGCATAGAAGTTCTTGAAATGCATCTCATGTAAGAGATAAACACTATTCTAAGAACCTTTTCCGACAATAAATAGAATGAGGGACCCTTTCTCCCACCCCTGTCAAAAATGGAGATCGTAAAAGCCAGGGTGTTTGGTTCAATGAATGATGAAGCTTTCCTGGGGACAGAAACAACTTCAGAGTCCGAGAGGTCAGTAGGAAGGTTGATGATACCTTTGAGTCTAAAACTCAATTCTTAAGAAGAGGTGCTCCTACTGTGCCCATTGGTTACATAAGAACCAAGACCCACACGGAGAACATCAGAAGGCTAGCAGTGAGGGAAGGGGCATGGCCAGGCAAGGAACCCCCAGGATGTTTTTGGCCTTTGCTGTCACGCCACCATTCCCGTGATTCACGGATGTGTGGGTCTTTGACGAATTCAATGTCTGGGATGTAGCTGCGGATCCAGTTTTGGTAGTACGTGAGGCGACTGTATACTCCAGGCCGGTTCTCAATGGCGCATCCTTCACCCCAGCTGACGATGCCAGCCAAGACCCAGGATTGGCCAACCAGACAAACCATGGGACCTCCAGAATCGCCCTGTGAGCCAAGAAGACAGACATGAACAATGGAGGAAATGCATGGTGGGGTTGCTATGCATCAGATGGCTTGTACTACAGTGCCGATAATACCCAGACAATATGGCCAATACTCCAACACATTTGGAAGGCATTAAGTTAGGGAAAGCTGGATTAAAGATTAGAGTGACAGTGGGAGAAGCTAAGGGTGACATTCTAGGCTTCAACTAGAAATGGATGAATCTGACTAATTTGCTTTCTCCTGGATTAAGGAGAAATATATATATCATATGTATACGTATATGCATATGAGCTGCTTTCCACCCCAGATATGAAGAAATTGGTGTATTTTGCTGTCTTATAACAAAAAAACTGATTGAAACAAAACTCACCCTTCTGCACTAGCCAAAAACAGTTATGCCCTGTCTCTTGTACAAGGAACCTATCAGAAAAAAATGAGGTGGTGGCTCTAACCCAGCAGTAACTTTTATGAACTAAGCACCCAGGTTGTTCTGGGGGGGTTGAAAATGGGCAAAGAATGGGAGGAGGCAGAGCCCTTCCCTTGTGCAATTCCTGACCACATGGCAAGGCATTGGGAGAGACCAGCAACCCAGTTGCGTAGCCTTTCAGCAGCAGGAGTTCCCTGAGGATAGAGCCTGGAAGTTACTGAAAAGAAAGGGTTTGGGGGAGGAGTCCCTGGTTCAGGTTCTGCAGGCATTCTTAATATTCCCAGAGGCTAATCTTCCAACTCTCTAGAGGGTTTCTGGAGTTACTTCATCTTGCAGCTGCAAAGCACCCATAAAGAACTACTTTGCAAAGAGACAGTATGGTGTTCCAGAGCCTGAGGGCAAGAAGGGAAGAGCCAGCTCACAACACAGGGAGGCACTGAGCAAGCCAGCCATGGCATCTCCCCTCTGTCCTCCCTGTCCACTCTGTAGACTTGACCAGTGTGAAGTGCATGTGAAAAAGCAGGCTGCTGTGGTGAAGAAGAGGAGCACCTCCAAGGGACTCTTGCTGTGGTGTGGGCTCTCATCCAGCGTCCACCCCTTGACACCAACCCCATATGCATGCTAACCTTGCAGGCATCCTTCCTGCCCTCTGCGTAGCCAGCACAGATCATATCGTCCTTGATAACCCGTGGGGTCAGTCCATCACCCATGTTGGTGCGGTAGAGCTCACTGCAGGTCCTTGAGTCGATGATGGGCACCTTCAACTTCTGGAGGGTTTGTGGGGAGGGAAGGTTGACTGCAAGGATAACACACCACTGAAGCAGCTCTTTCTAAAACCCACCCTCTAGGGCCCCACCCACACACAGGATGCCTGTGCCGTTCAACCCCTCCATCCCATAGTTTCCCCAGAACAACACAGACACATGCATGCATGTTTCCCCCTGCCTCTTCACTTTACTGCCTTGTTCTCTGACTACCTTTCATTTTCCTTGGTCATTCATGACTTCACCCAAAGGTTCTCCTCTCCCCTGGCTCCTTAATTCACTCCATAATTTCCAGGTCAGAGAATAAGGCTCTGCCCCCATGCATCTTTGGAGAGGAAAAAAGGCTGACAGCTTCCAGCAAGCCCAGCATGACATGTTGGCTGGGGCATGCTCAGAGCTGCAGACTTTTTTTTCCTTTCTCAACATGCACAGGATTATACCCTAAGACAATCTGGCAGGCTTGAACCTCAGCACCCCTCCTATCTAGAATGAAACCTTCATCACTTCCCTGTCACAACCGGGGGCAGGACAAGGAAAAGCTCAGATGGAGAAACTGCCAAATCCAACAGTCTGCTGGCATGTTTTTGTTTTATTTGGGAGGTGTGTGTTTCCCCCCCTCCCTCCTTTTCCTTCTCCGGGATGTGTACAGTCCACACTACTACCATCACTGGCTCTGGAGATCTGACTGTGGAATGGGAACATTTTAAATCTCATGAATCCAAAATCTTCCCCAGTATGGCTGCTTTTCCTTTTATTGCTGACCAAGTACCAATGGCCCAGCAACAGGATAGTGGAGATTTCTGTTTCCACACCAAGGAATTGTGTGGGGAGCGCCTTTTCTGCATTCAGAATAGCCTCTCTAGAATCACGTACATTTTAAATGACTGATATGCTTTATCTCTCCTCCTCCTCCATCTTTTAACATTGTGAAATAATATGGAGTAGATCAGACAGTCATACTTAGAGTAGACCCATTGAAATAAATAGGACATAAGTTCCACTGAATTTAATAAGTCTACTCTAGATATGACTAAGTCTGAATTCAACCTTTATCTCTCTTTCTGGAAACACACACCTGCTCTGCAGTACTGCAGAAGCCTTACTCCACCTCATGTATAATTTGCACAATTCTCCATGCTTACACCTGAAATTCTCCATCTGATTGATTGATTGATTGATTGATTTCCTGCCTGCCTGCCTTTCTGTTTTTGGGGGTGTTCAGCTTGGGTTTCAGCCTAAGGGTTATATTCTTGTGGTGGGTGAGGCCAAATACAAAATGGGTGGGCTGAAAAATACCACAAAATGGCAGTCTATCTGAGTTTAAAGGTCTTATGTACGTGAGATATCTCAAGTCGTTTTATAATGGGGGAGGGGGAACACACGGACTGCACAAAAGCCAAGAGACTGTCAAACTGCCAATCATTTGGATTCAGCTCATAGGGACAGGCTAAGGGTATAGAGCCAGGTGGGCAACCACAAAAGCCAAACTGGGAACCCCAGGAGGGCTGGATTTGGTCCTAGGCCTGTATTTCTACAGCGCTACTCTGGCTTCCTCCACACGTACCTGAATGCCGCAGGTTTCCCCAGCCAGTGACCCAGCACACTTTCCCTGGAGGGAACTTCACAGAGGCATCAGGCAGGCAAATGGGAAGGATGAGGTCAGAATAGTGCACCCTCCTGGACAGCTGCACCAGGGCAATGTCCCCACTGCTGGTCTGGCCCTCATAGATGGGGTTTACGATGACCTGCTGAACTCCCAAGCAACATGCCTGCGGGCCCGGATTGGACAGCTGCGTAACCCCCAGGAGGACCTGGTACTGGGAGAGATCCCTGAACCTGGAAACACAACAAAGAAAGTGGGGCTGGGTGAAAGAGGGGTCCTGGAGGATGAAGGCTTTAGGCAGGCAATACGGGTGTCTTCCTTGGACACAAGGCTTGGAGAGCACTTGGAAATGTCTGCTTAAGCATCACTCAGTGTCAGAAACAAATGGTATGTGGGAACCCCAGAAGCTACTTAAGATCAGCTCAGAACTATGTTCTGACTAGTACATTAGAATGCAGTTTAATGACAGTTTTAAAATCTCACCCCAGGATCCATTTTCAATTTCTGAGCCGTTTAACCAGTGTTGTGTTCACAATGTGACTGGAACCCACTTTACCTTGCTTTCGGCACAAAGTTAAAAAAAATAATAATCTTTAGTATTTGTTTTTAGATTGGACTTGGTTTGCTGCTGGCTTATTGTTTTACTGGTTGTTGTTGTTGGTTGGTTGTGTTTATTCATTCTGTTCTATGTATTTGTTTTATTTATATTGTATTTTAATCGTATTTGTTTTTGGTTTCAGTTTGCTATTCTTATTTATTCTTATTTGTATTTTAGATTGCACTGTGAGCCACTCAGAGAGTCTTTGGCTATGGGGTGGCATACAAATGTGATAAATAAATAAATGCTGCCATGTCTGTTTTGCTAGCTGGCAAGAAATTTTCTCAGCATCATTGCCAGCACCAGAAATATTGTGTGTGAATACTGGATGGAGGACCTTTTCTGACCTGAAGCTCTGCAGACACTATGATCAACATGCTGGAAGATGACAGCAAGGGAAAGGACCTCCTCAATGGTGACCCTCCAATAATGGGAAGCTCTCTTTACTTGAGGCAGCAACACTGCAATTTTTTCAGTTGCCACTTCCAGGCATTTAAGTGGCACATGATGGGATGCTGATGCCAGCTGTTTTTATCTGTATCTGTTAAAAGTGTGATAACTGTTGGACTGCATCTCTCCTAGGCAGCATCTAGGGATGGCACAGAATATTTCAGATGCCCAGAATCCGAACTCCATCCTTCTTCTCTCCCTACTTGAAGCCAGCATGAAAACAACTGCACATGCTGTTCTTGAAGGTCAGGAAAGTGTTCCAAACGTTGTATATGAAAAATGGTAAACTGTATTTCACAATCTTTTCTTCATGGGTTCCAATATTTGTGAACCACCCTGAAAGTTTCAGCTATTACTGAAGGCTGGTGGCTCCTATGTCCCCGGGGTGATGTATCCATTCCAGGTTTTAGTCTGAACCTTTAAGGTGCTATCCATGGTGCTGAATGCTATCCCTCAAATAAGTTCAGCAGCATGAAGATCTCCTTGAAAGTTCAGACTTAATTATGGACGTTGGAGTCTGAGCTTGAGCCTCAGGTGTCAGCTACTGGGTGGTAGGAAGGAGGAGGAGGAGGAGAAGGAGAAGGAGAAGGAGGGGAGGGGAGGGGAGCGAGTATGTGAAGTCAGGAGGCATCTGCTGACCAGGGTCTCTCATCCCACCCTCTGGACTGTACTCACTGGTAGAAGCAGTGTGCTGCTGTGATCACCCACTCTTCTGAGATGAGCGACCCTCCGCATACATGCCTTTGATTCAGCTGTAAGCTGATCTGCCAGGGGAATTCTCCAGGCACAGTGTCTTTCCCCTTCACAATTCGGTTGAGGCTGATGAGGGGCCTCCCACAGGCTGCAAAGAAGAGCAGAGATTCATCTGAATGGATTTGGGCAAAGGGGTCAAGATGAGGTGCACCCAGGTCACATGGATTCTAATCAAGACTGTGGCACAGGTTCTTTTGTCTCTGCCCCATTGCCAGCTTGGTACTTGTCTGCTTGCTTTAATGCTGCGTTGAAACATCCCTGCCATTCACACCAAGATCATTGCTACCCCTGGAGAGATAAAATCAAGCTGAGTGCTATAACTCACTCTTCTGCTGGCAGGAAAATGCTGTGTCAAGAATGAGTGATTGCTCCGATGCGGAAACCAACAAGAATTTCTACTGCCAAGCAAAAATGCTGTTTGGAAGGAGCCAGGGCATGTAGCCAAGCGGAGTTCCACTGAACAGCCTCCTTTGCGGCTGAGCATTTTGACCTCACTGGAGGCCAGCATCCTGATTCATTGCCACAGACTGTGTGCCTCAACATGAAATTTGAAAAATCCTCAGTTAAATTAGAGTCGGGCCCTGATAATAACTTTCAGCCAAAGTTGAACTGGGGGGCTGAGCTGCAAAATGGAGAGAGAAACTGCCTCTCTTCTTTCATGCTTCTGGTTAGTGGAAATTTCAAGGGCTCTGGAACAAGCATCATTGCCACTGTCTCAGCTCTGCCCTGCTGGCAACTGCCATTTTGGGTTCACCGTGAGCTTTTCTACATGAATCCAGGGTTTCATGGATTTCTCTTGGAGTAGCGAACCACAACGCTTTCAGTTTTGTTGCAGCATGGGGACTGCTTTTCTACTTCATAACCTCTAGGTGGAGCTGTGTTCTAGTGGAGCAGTGCAAATACACTGAGAAGAAGAGTGGCATTTTCCACTCTGTTTTAATTTAATAACTCACTTCCCTGGTATAAAAAACAGGGGTGGGGGGAACTGCTGTAGAACAGAACAGAAACTGGAGTATCATGATGTCAGCCCATAAACACAGTTTGGTTTTTTAGTTGCAATGTCATGCCCAACCATCATGACCCCATGGACAACATTCCTTCAGGCTCTCCTGTTCTCCACCATCCCTTGGAGTCCACCCAAGCTCACACTCACTGCCACAGTGACTCCATCTAGCCACCTCATCCTCTGTCATCCCCTTCTCCTTTTGCTGTCAATCGTTCCCACCATCAGGGTATAAACACAGTAAGTATTCATAAACATACAACAACATTTTTGTGCAGAAAAGCTCTAGGATACTCTGGAACAGGGACACATAACACATTGCCTTGGTGAGTCCTTATCCTTAAAGCTCACTCTTCAATACCCAGGATGCACTTTCAACAGCCTGCAAGGGGGACTGAGCAGGTTGCAAAATTGGCAGGGCCATTCTAGTCTGGCAATAAAAAGATAAAGATTTGAAATATGGCAAAATATCATGCAAAGAAGAAAGCAGAAGTAGTGCATTCACCTAATGTGACAAAAGAGCTGTGGCCCTATCAGGAAAAGGATAGACCTAGAGGGGAGGAAAAAGACTTTGCAGAAAACATACACTTACCTCTGGTTGCCTGGGCCTCTTGCACACCTGGAAGAGCAGAGAAAAGTAAGAGGATGTCCAGCAACATGGCCATGAGTTTCACTGGGTCTAAAAGTCCTGAGCTTTTCGTCCCATTCAGTCACATGGTACCTTCACATCACATGGCAGTTTTGTTTTATCTCAGAGCAACCTTTTTGGATGGGAACACATCCTTGGGAAAAACAAAAAGCATTTTCCCCAGATATCTCAATACCCACTGCAGGAAGCTGCCTGCAGGTGTGTATAACTCCGTGGAATCACGGGGAAAGCTCTGGCACTCATCATCATTCCTCACCTGACTGCTTCTCCTAATAAACACTTTCGGGGAATGTTTCAGAATCTTTCTCCAAAAGAAAACAGCCAGACCTTTGCCAGTCTGAACAAAGGTGCAAGTTGCATGTATGTATCAAATTTGCAATGGATCAAACTTTTCATATCATTACTATTATTTAAATATATTCATAAAACTGCAAGTCAGGCAGACAGATTCAAATATGAATGAGGCAGGAATCCAATGGAGAAGCTCCTTTTCTTGAACCCTTGAGCAAAAGTTTCCTCCTGCCACGTACATATTCCAGATTATTGGGAGGATCCCTTCTCCTTCAAGCTCAAAAATGTCAGCCCAGACATATGTCTTGGTTCGTCTTTAGTGGAAAGAGGAGTAGCAATTATCCAGGATTAAGGAGCAGGAAGCAGGGCAGTTGTCATGTGGACCATGTCTGGTTCTAGCAATTCCTGAGGTGGGGCAGCTAAACTGAATGCAAGTCGAACCCATCTCTTCATCCTGACAACCCACATAAATCCGTGCCTCCCGACCACCAGTCACAATTAGGAAACAACAGAGTGGTGTTCCACTCTGTCTGGATTATCAACCTCTCCTTGTCCAGCCTAATCAGACCAGCTTCTCCTTGTGTACTGTGGCATTATAATTTCTTTTCCAGTCAAATTGCTGGTGCCCTCTTCAAAACTAATTTAGCAAAACCATCATTTACTTTCTCCCACTTGCCTGCCAACGCCCTGAAACCCAATTATAACATTATCAGAATCAGCTCAAGAAAGTATTACGGCACCTCTTGTATTGACATTAATGACCTTTCTTTGTTGGCACTCAGCTGGTGCAGGCTTGCTAAGATGATATCACTGCCCTCATTAATTTTTTTTTTTTTTTAAGGGAGGAGAAACAAACTCTCTGAGCCACACATTTTTCCTTACACTTGAGTTCATCTGAGGTCATAGGTAGAGAGGCCCAGTTAACTCTCACAGCTGAATCCATGCTTGCTGGCTCAACACAAATCTGGTTGCTCTTAGCCAGAGGCCAGCACAAGGTAGCTTTCTGGATGATATTGGAGTGAATTGCAAAGCAAACTTACGAGAGTCTCTGATTCCCAAATGTTTAACAGTGGCAATCACAAAGAGGAGAGGTAACTAGGATGGTGACTTAAACATTCACCTCTTAAAAAAGAATTTATGTATCACCAAAAGGAGAACAGTTTGCATGCTATTTGCCTATGCTAACTGAACTGCACAGAAGCCCAGTTAGAAATAATTACTAGACATGCAATGGAAATTTATCTTGCCAGAGTGGGGAACATTGACTTGGTGACCAGATGAATTATGTCCTTCTCTGCTCAGTCAAGGACTGATGTTGAAACCCAGAATATAGAAGAGCATCAAGTCCACACCCCTGCTCAATACAGAATTTCAAGTTAAAGCAAGGACATTTCTCACTTTCTTATGCTGTTCATCTCTCTAGAATAATAGAATAATACAGTTGGAAGGGGCCTAGAAGGCCATTGGGTCCAATCCCCTGCTCAGTGCAGGACTCAGCTCTCCCATCCAGATTCTAACCAGGCCAACCTTGCTTTGCTTTCAAGATTAGGCAGGATCAGATATTCAGGCTATACTAGACACAGTTCAGACAGCTGTTCAATTAGAGGACCCCTCCTTCAAACAGAACACTACCCCCCATAAAGTGGGCCATAGGGCCATCCCACACATTGCCATCAGGTAGCATAGGGGAACAGATATGGCCTTTCTTTCTTAGCTCCTAAAAGCCAGAAGTGTGTTCATTGGCATGGAGCCAGAGGTCCTGAAGCCATTCCCTGCCTCTGGAGGTGAGCAACCATCGGCATTGTGTTGTTTTCAGTGCCTGCTGAAGATACCTCTGTTCCATGAAGGCTTCCTTGCTGATCACCCACAGTTGATGACAACACCTCATGTTGCAGTTGCTATGTGCCATCAAGTTATCGCCAACTTAGGGCAACTCTAGGAATAAAAGCCCCTCCAAGTGTCCTATCCATGATGGCCCTTCTCATGTTCTGTTTTTCATGTTACTTTGTTTTTATTACTTAATCTGTTTGTTTGGGTTGTTCACCACTCTGGAATCTGCTTAGACATTGAGCAATATAAAAATAAATATTTGTGTACCGTTTCATATCTAAACAGATTACAATGAACAAGCCAACGAACACACCTGGTAAATAGGCTTCAGACTAGATCCAAGCTTCCCAGATTCAGGGAACTGTTTCCAATGTAACACCACTGATGTCTACTCTAGAATCCCAGCATCTTGCCAAAAATTCTGGGATACATTCTAAGGGACACACAGCCAAGTATTCTGTCTTTAGCTGCTGCACAGTCTTGCAAAACAAGAACAAACCTGGAATGCCCTTGCAACTGTGCCTGGCAGGGGAAAATCAGTAATGGTGAGCATACTGTCATTTCTGCAACTTGTCTACACTGCATGCCTTTTCCCCATAGAACCCCTGATAAGCTTCCAGTTAAAAATCATTAGAATAAAGGGAGATATTTTTTTGAGCTATTTAAGCTAAATTACTTTTGAAAAGCCATTTAAGTGAATTAGCCATCACCACTTCCTGCAGCAATGAGTTCCACAGGTTGACTATGCATTGTGTGTCTGGGCAGTGGGTCATATTCTCCATCATGTTATTTGGAGTGGAATGCTTCCTACTTACAATTGCTCTCACACTACCCCACTAACATGTAGATCTTCTGCCTAGGTACTTGCATAGTTATCTACCAAACTATCCCACTGGAAGGAAGCCTCCAGCCTTAATACATTATCACACATTTATGTAAATAGTAATTTACATATTACCAGAGTAGCATGGGAACAATCACAGGGCAGTAACCTTGCTGTCAAAGGTAACATGGAAAAGAGACCAAAGGCTGTTTGCTGCATTTTGTACACCTTTGTTTTTCTTTCACATGTCTGTGCCATGCATGATAGGCTGTGCTATCATCATATCTGTGGATGATAGGCCACACTATCCTCATATCATCTATGAACAGCCAATCTATGACCATCGGCTTACAGGACAGAGGTATCAGAAGGCTTGGAGAAATCCCAGGGTTTGCAGAAGTGTCAGATGCCTTAGAAAAAATCCTGAACATTGGAATGGGGCGAGGGGGAGACTACAAAAGCCTGCTGAGGACTGAACATGCCCAATGGCCTCAGAATGCTGTCTATTGAAAGTAAAAAGAGATCTGGGGGAGAAAAGGTGAGAGAGATGGATGGAGCATCCTGGAAAGGAAGAAAGCTGGCTTGTTGGGACCCTGAATTAGGGATGGGCAGACTAGCCATGTTCATACTTGCCCAGATTCTTGGAACATCATCCTAATGCCCATCTGTCCCTCAGTTTTCATGAGCACTTGCTAGCATTTGATTTTCCTGAATGAGCAAATTGAAGCTGAGAAATGATGCAAACTTTGAGCATTTTCCCAAGTTATTTGATTAGTTTGAAAGTCACCTGTTAGCTTTGTGCTTTCTGAGCAGTCATTGCAATAAATAACAATGATAAAATAATGCAATTAAAATAATGGTAAACAGAGTAAAATCACAATAAATGTAATTGAAAATAAAACATAAAACCAGTACCATTGGTATAAACAGTCTAAATGGTGCCCTAGGTGCACCAAAAAAGAAAAGTTTTTTTTCAGCTGCCTGAAACCCAACAAGGAAGGTGCCTGGTGAATGCTCACTGGTACAGCATTCCATACTTAGGATGCCACCACAGGAAAGGCCCTGCTCCTTAACTTTAAAAAAAGCTCACCTTTCCCCCATAGACCAAAGCATGAAACTGCACATTTAAAAAAAATGCACCTGAAATTTCACTCTGCTTTCTCTCTGAAATGTTCTCAAGTTTCATACAGCAGCACAGTCAAGAAGCTGCAGGCAACATTTCTATTTAAATAGCAGTTATTATTGTTAAATGGGAATCTATACATATATGCTTGCATGCAAAAATGCTATGCAAATTAGTGTCCTCTTTTTAGGTGTTCTTCATACATGGTCACCCGATTAACTTTCTCCTTACAAGGAGTATTGACATGAAGGAGCGTTCTGAGGCAGAGACTGCTGCCTGCACTCTCTTGTCCCACCTCTGCTTTCCAGCTGCTCATTCTGCTACAAGTACAGACCAGGCCTAAGGTGCTGGCCCCCAGATTCTATGGCCCCAAGGCCCAACCAAGATGGAAGTATTTCAGAAGCTAGGTGCAGGTTTGAGAACTAGTGTGCAGTGTGTCAGTCTAGGACCAGAGAGATCAAGGTGGAAGGGTCTACTCAGAGAGGAGCCCTGGGTGATCTCAGGCTCTCTCCCCACCTAGCCTACTCCTGTGATGTTACTCAGGTCCAAAAGGGACAAGGCTCCTGAACCTTTAGTAGCTTGCTGGACAGTGGCTGAAGTTCTGCTTTATGTAATAGGCTGTAGGCCTGCCCTTCTGGTCACTCTTATCTACTTCCCAAGGTCCTTCTGAAGATAAAGCAGGAGGGTAGGGGGACAACTTCGTGTACTTTACTGACTGCCTTGGAGGCTCAGAGGGATAAAAATAAAAGCATAAATTTCTCTGCACTTGGATGAGCAGAGATAGAAGTGCTTGGCATGTAACAATCTACAATTAGGATATCGGGGAACGCAAACCAGATAATGTGATTTCAAGGGCATTGAAAGGGATCTCTGCAAAACCACAACCACATGCAAATAGTCAGC